TTGACCTTTGTTAGTGCCGTATTGGAGGGAGATGACATGTTGTCCAGCCTTCAACTGTTCTTCGGAGAAGTCTCGAACATTCTTATCCGCTTCCTTAGGACCGAACGCAGGTAGATTATAATTACCAGCCTTCCTACCCAAAGACTGGAGACATATTATGACGGAATACAAATTCTGCTTCTCCCAAAGATCAATCGTTTGGAATGTCTCCTGTGGCGGCACACCCAACTTAACAGCTGCTTCCAAGAACGCGTTAATATTTTCCATGCATTTGAAAGCCATAGTTGACTTGTTCACCTTCTTGACCAGGCCCTCCTGGAATTTGTTGACTAATTTACAAAGCAGTGTTCCATCTTTAAGTGTTTCGTAGAGGTTGTCTGCATCTCCGGCAGTGTTTATTGGTTCATCTGTGATCTGTTTAACCCATTCTAAGGTTTCGGTGGCGATATCATCACTGTATTTACTGTTGATCCTCGCCTGGGCCTCAGCGTTAATGCCGGCTTTTCCTGCGCGGTGTTCAGCCATTTTGTGCTGTCAGGATTGTGGACACGTATTAACTGGGCTTCTTGTGATAAGCACTTTGCTATCGATAGGACGATATATATACTCCTGATAGTGATTATCGGTGTATGCGACAAACAATAGATATCCTACAGATATCGGGTGAAATAAAAGACCAATTTATAAATTATTATTATGTTCAAGATAAGAATACGATTATAATCACGGAACTTGGCTGTCTCGCATTGAAGTCGAAATTCCAATTATAGAGGAGAAATATCTTTGTTTTACCTATTCTGAAGTAGATAATAGAACAAATTTTCAAGTAGGTAGGCAAAGGTAATCAATTTTCAACACCTTTCTATAGCTATTATATATATGCTATAGCATAAGGCAAAGGTAAACAATACTGATATGAGTTTGTACTCCCAACATATTAGTAAGTTACTCATTTGCATTTTGTTGTGTTTCAAGTTGTATTGTGATTTTAAGAAATAATATAAACTTTGCCTTTTGTTGCACTTGTGCTTGCTAAAAAGCAATCAAAACATTGCTTTAGATAAATAATGAAAAAATATATAAACTTACCCAAAAACAGGCAAACCTGTTATAAGAATTAAGATGCACTTAGAAATATTTTTTATCAGATTTTTTTTTACTTTGTGATATAGATTTAATTTGTATAAGGTCTTAAATTAGACATGACATCATACTGAATGGGCACCTGAGACTATAAATAAGATATGAGATGAGGTAATTTATAAATACTTATATATAATAATTTTTTTTTAATGCTCACAGGACGTAATCATGCACAGATGCATCAGCATCAAGGCAGTACAGTTATAACATTAAATATTATTCAGAGTTAAAGATGAGATGCAAAGCAACCTTCCAACAAATTGTGAACACTTAACCATTGTAATTTTAGCATTTACGAAATGAAATTTTGTTAAATTTCCATTGTTTCAACCAAACAATGCAATTGGACGAAGGTTATTGTGAACAAAGAACTAGATCCTCCATCACTGAGTTTGATAAAGTTAAATGGTGATAATTTTTAAAGGTTGGATAAATTTACTAAGTTATCATTATTAAATTGACACTTAAACAAAAAACCTAAGTAATTAACACCTATTTGTATCAGGCAGAATGATTTTAAAAATACTTTCACTACCACTACTCCTAGTTAAACTAGCCACCTTTTATTAAAACAAAAATTTAAAAGTTGTCCATAGATAATGTTGTTCAAAGCAATGAAACAAATTTATGTTAGTTCAATGATGAAAGTCTTTGAAAGATTTAAGTAATAAATATTATTTCTATAAGGAATATGTAATGTTTTATATAAATATGTAATAACCACTAAATATACACAAGCTTTAATCCGCATGACTTATTGGTAATTTTTTAGCATATATAACACTGTTTCTTCGACCATTACCACACTACATTTTCAGAATAATATGTAGTTCTATTATTCAAATATATTTTTTATTTTATATATTATTAAATTGCAAGTAAAAAAGATTTTCTTTTAAAATTGTTAGAAGATTAATAGACAGTAGGCATTTTGTTATGACGTCATAAATATTTGTTAATATAACCTTCGGCGGTTGCTGTGAGAAATTTTAAATAAAATAACTTTTTAAAGTTGTGTTTCAGAGTGCCAAACATAGGCAAGTTTTACATTTACATACACACAAGTATATGCGATATTCATTATATGGGATTTATAGAGTAAATTCGTCCTGAAAATGTTTGATAACGCAGTAGTAGAAGTATTGATAAACTTTTATTCAAATCCTATTAGGTAAAACTCACTATCTTAACATCTAATTTACGATATAACTTACCGATTTGTCTTCTTTGCAAAGATCAAAAATCACAAGACACGATTGATGTTAAAAAACAATAATCATTTTACAGAAATACACAAATCACCTCACTTCGAACTTTCACAAAGTAAAATAAAAAATATTATTTTTAAAATCCGCACTGTCTGCTTGCCAACACGTCTGCGCGGCGTTTCAGTCTTGACATGACAACTTGACAACGGCAAATTATTTTGACACTAAACTGAAACTGACAATTGACAAAGACTTAAGAAACTTTCTGATATTCTGATTCGTCAGCACAAAATCCTTTTTCTCCGGTAGGTGGCAGAAAGAAAAGTAAAAATATTTTAATAATTATGTCCTTTATTTGTACTTAAAAGGTTTATAAAACGGTAATATTCAAATGGTAAAGTAGATACTATTTTTGATTGGTTAGTTTGCTTTTACGGAGTTTACAGCAACAGTGCCAATGATACATTCAAATAATCTCTCCGACGGAACTTAGGTACCTCACCGCGGCCGGCCCTTTATGACAATAAATAATGATTCATTTATTTTAAAAATAAAATGTATATATTATGATCATTTCTGACTAACCTTTAATTAGTAAAGTGCAAAAAGAACACCTTTTCGTACCAGACAAAATTACTGATCATAAGCATTTCGTAATAAGCAGTCGCAGAAATTTGTACAAATGATTTTAAGAACAATAACAATAATTATGTAATTACGATTCGGATACGGATAATATGCAAGGTACGTACGTGTTTCAAGGACGCATATTATTTGCCACAATATGTACTCCCCATGTGTCCCTGTGTCTTTGAAGTAAGTGTTTTTATTTTATTTTATAGAACAGGGGGCAAACGGGCAGGAGGCTCACCTGATGTTAAGTGATACCGCCCATGGACACTCTCAATGCCAGGAGGCTCGCGAGTGCGTTGCCGGCCTTTTAAGAATTGGTACGCTCTTTTCTTGAAGGACCCTAAGTCGAATTGGTTCGGAAATACTTCAGTGGGCAGCTGGTTCCACATAGTGGTGGTGCGCGGCAAAAACTGCCTTGAAAAACGCTCAGTTGTGGAACGGCGGACGTCGAGGTGATACGGGTGGAATTTCGTATTCTGCCTCGACGTCAGAGTAGTCTTGGATACCATGGTCTCCAATGCCAAAAGAGTGCAGGTCGTTTTTCTCGCCACGCCTCTCTCAACGACATCATACGCCGCTCTCCTGTCGCCGTCCAAGTTCCAGACATATTGGAGCCAATGGGCATCGTTAGCGGCCGAATGGGATGTCTTTCATACCTTGGAGGATGGGACAGGCTTTGATGTCTCACCTCGCTCGGGCAAGCATAAACCCTGGCGCGGCCGCAGAGCAGGCGGAAAATAATGAATGGCTCAAATATTTAAGAGTATTTCCTCCAACTTTGATTTTGTTCCCTTTGGAGTAGACTCTTGGGGATCCAGTGGTACCCAGAGCTGGTGCTTTCCTCGCTCAACAAATAAGTATCGCAATACAGCAAGGAAGTGCTTCCAGCGTTAAAGGTAAACTACCACTTTAAATTTGTTTTAATTTTCTATTAATCCATTTCTAATTATTATTATTACTATACATTATATACAAAATCTTAATATTTAAAATTATATTCTTAAGCTTTTAGCTTTAAGCTTTACTTATAAAAACGGACCTACAATGAAATATAATGTATATTTTTTTCTTAAAGAAACAAAGACAATATAAACGCTGACATAGTATACGCCTGCATTTAAAGTTATCAAAAAGTTGCGTATTCGACAAGTCTAGGATGAGGTTTTTTAAAGGTTTAACTAACAAATATTTGACGATACAACATTTTCGATTTAACGTTTGGTGCTTTATAAAACCCATGCCCTGCGATTCTGTAACTCACTTTTCGAACTTACACAGCGGTTTTCGCATCGGCGGTCGCTCTCAAATCAGTCGTGAAGCAGTCATTTTATGATTTGGCATTCTAATAATCAATAAACTACAAGCTCCCACCTTTTCAGAATGTGAGTTCGAAAAGTGAGTTACAGAATCGCAGGGCAGAACTATAAGTGAGATTTTATATCCTTAGTTTTAAAATTGTTAATGTTGGGATATCTTAATTACTAAGGTGCGACATACAAGCTATTCGTGGTTACTACATAATATGTTCTTTATAGTACCTACTATGTAATTATTCATACGTTTATTCAAGATCTGAAAGCTGAGGCTTCAGCATGTCTGCGAAACACGGATTTTTCGTATGTCTAAAGCACAGTTCTACCATTAGTCTCGACAAGTTAAGAAATGTTTGTCACCTTTATTTATATGAAAAGTGACACAAGACTGATAAGGACAAAACATTTATAGTTTGAAGGTTGTAGGGCGTACATGAATATACATGAAATAAATACCTACTTAGTGAATTAACTATACAAAAGTTAAATATCTAGAAAACTCCTGTTATCGTATTTCAATACTCATTAACGGAAATGGGATTAATTAGCGCCTGAAAGTGAAGAATTAATTAAATGAGAGTGTAAACAAAACATCGTAGTGTGAAGTTCAAGTGTGTGCGCATGCGCGTTAGTCGGGCGAGCGGCGAGGGCGGGCGGCGCGCGCGCAGGGCGGCCGCAGCGTCAGTCCGCGCGCGATCTCGCCATGGCTCGGTGGGTGCCGGCCCTCGTGGCTTTGTTGCTCGTGTCAGTTGCCGCGCGCAAGTCAGCTCCCAAGACAGACCACGAGCCCCGAATCGAGGAGGTCACCGCCAAGCAGCTCGAACGACTTCTAACCGACAAGGACTTCGTAGCCGTGTTCTGGTGTAAGTTGGCGGCTTGCCAGCCCCATCCCGCGCCGCGAGTCCTCAGTCGCCGATCCCCGCTTGACCCTCGGCGGTCGCCGGTCGCTTCGCTGATATTTTGGCGAGCGAGTTATGCAACGGAGACAATAAAACCCGACCCGACCGCGTCGTCACCTAAAATGGCGGCGGGGCTCTCCACGGCTCGACCACCAAGGTCGCGGAGCGCCTACGCCCGCCCCGGCGATACCAGTGTATGCCGCATGTTCCTCTGAAATAGATTTCCATTACGTGCTGTTGGCATTCCGGCTATTTTCACTTGTCGCCAACTCTTGCGCCGTATCCGCTAATCGCCCGTTAACTTTTAAAAAAATGCTATGTGTGTGTGTTGGCAAAAGGTGAATGTCATCTCGCTATGTGTTCTAATTATATTTCAGCTCGTCTACATAGATGATAATATATAACAATAGTGTTTTAGATACCTACAGCAGCCTCTGCCTCAATTTAGTCAAACTAATATCATCCCGTAATTCGTATACATATTCCTAATACTTGACTTTACAAAATTACTTTCCAAAACGGAATAATTTTAGTTACTATTGATATGTACGCTTATGTTTTTACAAGACAAAAAGTATATTTTTAACTGCATTTTGAACTAAAGAACCATAATCTTACACATGTTCCTTTAATTACATATATTCCAGATATAAAGAATGTTCCGCTCGTTTCTTATCTCAGCTTAAAATACCCATTATTATTTACCAATTAATTGTAACAATTCAAAGTTTAACAAGCGATTTACGTTAAAAATAGAAGGACCCTGGTATAATGTGTTTAAGAAAAGATATAATTACGAAAACGTGCGTCGTACAAATGCTAGGCTTGGAATTCTTCCAAAGTCGTCGCATAATTTACTTGATTAACAAAATCTAGTATTTTTCCGATATAATGTAATTAAAATTGCTTTTATCTTTTCTCGTTCCAAGGTTCTAGTAATGCTTACACAGAGCACACTCATGCTTTTTTTATGGTTCTCATCAAACATAAATAACAAAGTGTTTCGCTAGTTAATTTACAAACACAGACGCCCGCGCATGGCCGTGACGTCTCCAGACGTGTCCGTAAACTAATAACATCAAATATTTTCATATGCTAAACATTATTTATACAAGGACTTTACTAGTTTAAACCGATAAAGAAATAGTAAATGAATACATATCATTGCAGAATCAATGAACACAGTTTGGAAACTAATAACTTATTAAACATAGTTTTTTAGCAAGTCATAGTTTCAGGTTTAGTCTTTTAACCTGATATTTATCATTCTTTGTAAGTATATAAAAAATGTTGAAATATTAAATTAATATTATATATATATATATATACTAAATGCTAAAAGATTATGTGTACTACATGTAGGTTTTTGGCGGCAATTGTAAGAACTACGAAGACATGGTGTACCAAACATCACTATATGCTTTAAGATATATTAATCAAACAGTAATCGTAATATAAATTAATATAATATACCGTATCAATTCTATATACCCCGCTTTTTGGATTCTGATCATAAATCTATGAAGTTTACGTAGTTTTTTTTTATAATAACGTTATACGAGTATACGCATTGGCGTATCAAGAGATACTTTGTAGGTAGCTTGGGTCTATGTGTGAACTTCAAACTCAAACTCAAAATATCTTTATTCAAGTGGGTAACCAAGTACACTTTTGAATCGTCAAGTTACATTAATCGTAAATTTACATTTACTACCAGTTCGCAAGTCAAGGGCGTAGAGCGGGTAAGAAGAACTGGCAAGAAACTTTCCGCCACTCTTTTTAATCGCCAAGTGTTGTCATACAAATTGTTTGAACTGGAGCAATTCAATCCCAAGGATTAGGATCATTTAAGTAGTCCTCAAATTTATAAAAAGCTTTGTTGATTAATTTTCGGTGTTTAGCCTAGAATTTCGAATGCCCTGGTGTGGGCAGATAATACTGGGATGCCCACGGCCAACCTCTCGGGCCTCTTTTTACACCTATACTTGTAACATTCACTCCAATAGATCAACTCTATAATCAAATAATCTTTTGCTACGTAAGTTTGTAACACGGGTCTGTTAAGAACAATACACTCAATAGCGGTTAAAATCTATGAATGATACACAAATCCTATGTATTTGCTTTTGAAAATGGAACGCTAAAACTATCACTACACTCCCACAGATACTATAACATTGATAAGTTTATATAATGTAAATCTGAATATGAACTGTGCCATCGTTTACGTAAAATCTATTTTAGCATTTCACCTCTGATATTCTCGGACAAATGATTCAAAAGATACTTTAAATATCACTTTTATAGTCGTTAAATCTTGGTTAGCTTGTTGATTTTGGTTCCAGCAAATGTTTTCGGACGGAATTAGAAGGCATAAAATGTAATGAAACGTGTTATTAAAATACTAAAGCTCACTGTAAAATGAATGAAAATTTTAAAGTTGTTTGCACCCACCCGAACTTTAAACGAATGGATTTATTTTCTATTTGAATTTAACATGATATCATTCGCAAACCGTCTTATAAAAATGGTCCTAATCTATCAAGTGTCTACTTGTCCACTAATAGTACCGCTACAACTTCATCTAGGGCCCAGATTTATATAATCTCTTTCGTGTTCTTTTTCTAATAGGTAAGTAGGAGATACGTCTTCTATGCTTGGACGCGGTGAACTATTTGCATCTAAGGCATGCCGGTTTTCTAACCTTGCTTTCCTTTATCGTACGAGCGAGTGTTAAATGCGCATAAACGAAGAAAAGTCCATTGTCACCGGGGTTCGAATCTACGACCTCAAGGATGGGAGTCGCATTCTCAAGCCTCTAGGCTCTCTCGTCACATTTATTACTATTTTATTTAAAAGTAAAATTCAAATATACAAGTCAGAAATCTATAAATAATTAGTAGTTTAATACCTAAATGATTTTTCTAAAGCATTCGCGTATAATTGTGATCATGTAATGCTCTTGGGCGCGATAAAATTGTCACATAGAACATAGGATATAAAGATAATATCTGTAGCGTGTAGCTACGAAAACCGCTACGAATAAGGCATGTACCATATCAATATAGAACTGAATTGACAATACGATCAATACTTAATAGGTAATATAAAAAATTTAACCGACTTTTACTTGTATGAACATAAATGAAAGAGGAGCGTTTTTTCCCCTTGGCCCCTCCAAAAATAGGTATATGGGTAATAACTCTAAAACCGATTTATTTGTGTTTTAAACAAAATGATTACATATGTTGTTTATATGTGATTAAAAGTGAGCTAGAAATTTGTGAATAAACACAGATACGCTTACAACATTTAGCACTCGTGCTTGCCTGAGTACTGGTCAAACTCCTAATTGTCATTTTTGGTGGTTGAAATATATTGCTTCTTTATTAAAGGGAAAAAAGGGTTTATCAAAACTCATTGAAAGAAACATACGTGACTTGTCACGTAGCTTCGATATTTCATAAGAAAGTAGTTTATTATCAATATATAAGTGATGATGTAATGTGCGTTAATAACCGAGGTAAAAGTGTGATTGTCGATACGATAAAATCGTTTATATAGCGCCTGGCGGAAAATACGTTATTTTATTTAATATAAGGCAGAACAGAAGTTTACGTCCCGGCCTATAAAAAGTTATATGAAAGTAAATTTCTGAGAGGTGTGATGTGACAAAAAAGGTTTTATCTTCAACTGCACAATGATAAAAATTACATTCGAATAAAAAAAAGAAATAATTAAGATAATTTGTTTCATTATTGTATTCGTCCCTGAAAGTACGCCCTTGTAATCGCTCACTTTATTCCCTTAATGTACAATGTACTTTATTTATGAAATTGAGCATATTATTCACTTAAGAGTTTAGCTCGTGAGACGCATCGCCAATACTACTAATTGTCATTGTTTTCATTCATTATCGTTCATTTGTCTGAGTTATGAATGAAATTTCTGACAGTTGGCTTTGAAACTCTCGGAAGTCTGTCGACCGACCTATTTTTCGAACTTGGGGTGTATCAGTATCATAATAATTGGTTCCGTTCCACCATGATCGGACAAATTTGATGGATTTAAGGAGTTTTTATACCTGTTATAGTAAAAGGTGTGTCATTTTATTAATTTATAAAAAAAACGTAGATAAGTTATAAAATATTAATTTAATATTTTTCTCTAATAATAAATTACTATGTATTATTCTAACCGCTGCAATTTGCTAAAACGTGTTCGGTATTTACCAATGTATACCTGGCTTTTCACTAAAGGTTAACTAAAAGAGGTCCTAAGTAAATTCAAGAAGTAGTTTTTTATTCAGCCTTATTAACTATTAAATTAATTTTACCGTATTGCCTCGATGTTTGTCGTTCGTAAGGGACTTTTTGTAGTTTACTATTTGGAAACAGCTATTATTTGAAGTACTTCCGAACCAATTCGACTAAACCTCCTTTCCGATAGCGTACAAATTTTTAAATACCGGTAACGCAATCGCGACCCATTGCACCCTTGCTTTACATAACAAAAACATTTAATAGACTCTTCTGTATCATCTATTGAAATTTGTTTTCTCTAAGGCTGCTGCCTCGAATTTTGCGGGCAGCGGGGCGGCGGCGGCTGCGGCGCGGGAGCGGGCGATTGCACCTCTCGTTACCCGCCCTCGCGCCGCTGCCACGCCGCTGTTTTCGAGAACCGGTCCATTTGATTTTACGCATAAGATCCTGCCGCTCCCGCGCCGCCGCCACCGCCCCGCTGCCCGCAAAATTCGAGGCAGCAGCCTTAAAACCGCACAGCGCTCGTAATGTGGGCCGAGTCGTCAATTTGTGGTCAGCTTTTTACGTGTTTAGTTTTTAACCAAAACTACGAATTTTATTTAAATTAATGTACATTTGTATTTACTATTTTCAGGAGATATATATTTGTTATAGTTTGTCATTAATAGATATTTGTTGGCAGTAATGGGGCGTTCTGAAATATTGGCGCGCTTGATGAAAAATTCCAGATATTTTAAAAGAAACTCAAGGAAATTAATAATGTAGTTTTCATAACTCCAATGAGAATTCACTTGTCAACAGTTAATCATTGTCCTCCTTATTTATTCGGCATTCGTAAAGATTTTTACAGTCTTCTAATATTGTTTAAAATTCTTAAATCCGTCTTGCTCTCTAACAACATAAGAAAGAAAACATATTTATATTTCAAATTAAAATAAGATTAATTGAAAACGGAGTAATTGGAGCCGAGACTCTTGGGCCGTGGGGTTGCAGTGCACAGGCTCTGCTTAAAGATTTAGGTTGGCGCCTGGTACATAGTACCGATGATCCCAGAGCTGGTGCTTTCCTCATTCAACGAATAAGTATCGCAATATAGCGAGTAAATGCTGCCCAAACTTTTTAAATTTGTTTTAATTTTCTATTTATAAGGATTTAGTTTTGAAAACTTAGTTTATATAATACAACCTATGAAATTCGACTTGAATTTACAGATGCAAGAAGTTGTGTCACGTGCGACAAAGTTCTAGACGAGTTAGAAAAAATAGATGATGACACGGACTCCTTTGGCGTAGACTTCGTGAAGATCAATGATAAGAGGCTGGCGAAACAGCATGGCATCACGAAATTCCCCGCCCTCACGTACTTCCGTGAGAAGGAACCGATCATTTACGAAGGTAAAACACTTTCACTGGGCATCTGTTTACAGATATAGATCAATACGAAGCAGATACACTTAAACATTCAAAAATAGATATTTCTATGCAGTGTGATTTTAGACTAAATCAGTGGCGGATTTACCAGCAGGTTGAGTAGGCTGGAGCCTAGGGAGGCAAATTTGGAAAGCAAACTTTATTTTTTAGATACCTCTTAGAAATAAAAAATTTCTTCCTGACGGTTTTCTGATGTTTCACTAAGAAGTCTGCAATAAATTTTGTCGATGACTTTCCCCTCTCATTTGTACATTTGGTGTAGCAAACTTCTATATTCTAAAGTCAAACAGCTAGTTCGCTGTCCACCAACCAGTAATAGACCTCTGCACCCTCAGCTCACACTATGACCGAAATTGCTGAAAATGTGTTTCCCTCTTTCCCCATCCCCTCTATCGACCCATACATGTCAGTCCTACTACTGGTTGGGGGCTGCGAACTGGATGGTTTGTGCTCAAAAATAAAACCCAATAACACTATTTTTCGTGCAATTTCAACGAAATTGTTGGATTGTAAAAATAATCTTGGACATGACAATTGTGGAGCCCAAAAACTTCTCAGCCTATACTATACCTTTGAGAATTTGTAAAACCACCACTGGACTAAATGTGTATAAAAATATCAAATGTTTGAATGACATTGATGCCTCGTATCTGTTGTAGATGCAGATATGTCTACGAGGTTGATGTTTTTGGCAAGTGATCAGATTTAATTAATAATACAGTACAGTAAGATTGACTGTAACTATGACTTAAAATAACAAATGAACTCTTCGTGTGATAACTCGTAGATAATTATTTGCCGTGAAAGTAAACGATGTTTCCAAATGTTTTGATAACCTAGTTGAAAGTTTATCTTTTTCTATAATTTTAGGAGATCTTATGGATGAAGAGAGCGTTTTGGATTTCCTGACGAGCTTAGAAGCAATGGACCTTCCAGACAGGATAGAGGAAGTCAATCAAAAAATCCTCGGAAAAATCGTCGAGGACACTGAATACGTAGCTGTGCTCTTTTGTACGTATTTGTATGTCCCACGTGGTTTTACTAAAATGAATACTGTTAATGAGCTAATATGGTAAAAGTTGAGGCCTTTCTTGACTAACAATTTAGAGAAAACAATAATTGTAATAAGAGTAGTTAATATTGCTATTGCCATCATTTATAAAACGTACATCAATGATTGTAAAGGAAAAACGTTGTGCTGTGTGTTGACAGTGTTTTTGACGTAGGTCCCGATCACAAAAATTGCGGCCCGATGAACAGTAAGTAAGGACTTCAGATGGCGGCATGCCTCATTGTATTAACGTTGTGGCTGGTATTTTGCTTCGTAGTTAGTTTTTATTTTACATAGATCGTGCTTTCCGCTTGTTATGCGCGGCGGGCACTTCTGGATTCCGAACGATTTTATCGATATTTATTACTTGACCCACTATGCATTTGCGTTTCTTAAAGCGGTTTTTGCCGCGCACCACCAGTATGTGGAGCAACCCACTGAAGTATTTCCGAACCGATTCGACTTAGGGTCCTTCAAGAAAAGAGCGAACCAATTCGTAAAAGGCTGGCACTTGCGAGCCTTCTGGCAATGTGAGTGTCCATGGGTGTCAGTCCAACGGTATCACTTAACATCAGATGTGCCCTGCCCGTTTGCCACCTATTACATTAAAAAAAAATTGGCAGAGACAATCACAGTGGTCGGAACATGCAGATTTATATCCGATACATAATCAGACGCCAAATTATCTGGAATTGCCCGTAAAATCTAGTTAGTTAGAAACTTCTTCGTTAACTCGCAAACAAGCGAGTTTGCGAATAAGAAAATCAAAAACTCATTTGCTCTATTGGATTGTAGAGCGAGCTATTTCAGATGTTCTATTTCCGTCTCAGAAGCAAGCTCGGATTGACGGACCGACATGTCATGATTACAACTGGCGAACAATTTCCTCACTCCACCTATTATGTTCCTTATATCACATATAAGTTTTGTATCTCAACCGAAAATAGATTCAGATAGAATGACCTTGACCTAAATACTTTGCAGTCTACATAAATATTCATATAAACATAGTTACACTTCACTACACATTTTTACGTGACGTATCTAATCAAATATAAATTATAAATGCAAAAATTATATAGCACTAGTTGGTGGATAGCACATGGTTTGTGATTCTTGAATGACTAGTTGACTTCCGGAACTGCTCCCTCGTAAGAAATGTTAGTTGATTTTCAGGTCTGACTTCCCTTCGAAGAATGTTAGATTCTCTACCCGGTTAATCCACTGAAGAATGTACCCTCCTTGCAACGATAGAAATAGCAAAGCCCAATACGTTCACCTTATAGCACTCTCACCACCACTTGCACGACACAACGCTTTAAAGCACACACTTTATTAACTTTCTTTTAACACAACAAATATTTCGTCAACGCTTAACTGCACTGCTTCGAATCCTAAACGAGGCATGTCATAGTGACATTTGATCTTGTTTTATGACGACAAACCGCTCTAATACACTTGTCATGTTTCAGATAAGCCTGAATGTAAGAAATGTGCAAAAGCACTTCAGGAGCTAGAAAATATTGATGATGAAGCAGATCAGCTCGGTATAGGCTTTGTAAAGATCCACGACGAGGAACTTGCCGAAGAATACAGTCTTGGAGAATTGCCAAGACTTGTGTACTACAGGCATCAGATACCTATTATCTACGAAGGTCTGTGACTCATTTGAGTAGCAATTAAATTACAAATGTAAACGTAATATCAAGTTATTTATATAACAAAAAGCATGCTGCTTTCTATTAAATTTGTAAAAATTTTACTAAGTATTTTTAAACGCCACGTTTTCCACACAACTATACTAAAATGTTTTAGGTGAACTAAGCCGCGAAGAAGATGTGCTGGAATGGCTCATTGCGAACAAATCGACTGGGGACGAAGAAGATGTGATCGAGGATGTTACAGCGAAAACCCTTAATACTCTTATAGGAAATGTAGATAACTTAGTAGTTCTTTTCTGTAAGTATTTCGTATTTATGTTTATATATTATTACTGTCCACGATTTGATCTGCGTGAATTGACCGTACATAAGTTAGTAATTCTAAGGTGTTATTAATTTCTATTCCATAATTAATCAATATCTAAATCATTTGTAAACTTGTACCATTCTCATTTAAAGATTACAATATTGCATCGTCATTTTGTGTGATTTAGTCAACTTTAGGAAACCTTTCTTCTAAGCAATATTTTAAGTCTACAAGCTTCTTTGTCTGCGTCTGCGTCTTTACTGATGTTTTTTGTATTTAGAATTTAAATTATATTTTATCGTTACAGATGATCATGGTGATGAGGAATCCATGACAGTTTTAGAAGAATTAGAGAAAATAGATGATGATTGCGACCGCCACGGTATCCAGTTTGTAAAGATCGATGACAAAAAAGCAGCAAAAGAATTCGGCATTGACGATGTTCCCTCGATAGTCTACTTCGAGAAACAAATCCCCAATGTTTATGACGGTAAGATTATATAATTTTGTTATTTTTCTAATAGATGAAACTTTATGTTTTACGCGAATTTCTTTTCAATTAGGTGACCTTGAAAATGAGGATGAAATGTTAGAATGGCTGGTTGGTCAGTTAGAAAAGGATGAAATAGAAGACGTAACCGATGAAATGTTAGACCGTCTCATCAAAGATGGCAAAACAGTTGCTGTTCTATTCTGTAAGTATTACTTATTAAAAGAACGATTTATGATAAACATCACGAGGATTGTACAAAGATTTTATTGGAATTTATTTATTTTAGATGACAACAACGATCGAAAATCTCAAAAAGTATTAGCCGAATTGGAAAACATTGATGATGAATGTGACCAATTAGGTGTTGCATTTGTAAAAATTGACAATGACGAGGAAGCAAAGGAGTACGGCATTGAAAAATTACCAACGTTGCTATACTTCGAGAAGGGAATACCAACTTACTATGAAGGCAATTTGGAAGAGGAAGAAAAAGTATTGGCTTGGCTTAAGCACCAAACGGAGAGTGACGAAATTGAAGACATTACTGATGAAATGCTGGATTTGATGATCGAAAAAATGCCATATGTTGCCGTTTTATTCTGTAAGTACAAACTGTTTTAGTAAGTTATATTTAATCTTCAAATATCCAACAAACGGACATTACCTGCTTGTCATGTAAACATTATTTTTTATTAGTATAGGTATTATATTATTTTGTCGTTGCCAAAACATTAAAATATATATTCAATATACCTAAGGCATACAACGTTGAAAGAACTGACTTATTCAGTTTAACACTAACTGTATTCATAAGAGTGGCCATCATTTGTTATGGGATGGTTTAGGTTGTTTTTTTTTCTTTTTTTCTCTTTAGAATTAGTGTTAAGCTGTAACAGTAGAAATTAAGTTTTAAATAAATAAATGGTTCCGGGGTTGTAATACCGCAAATAAGGCGCCAACGAAACTTAAAGATTTCTCTAAATCTGTGCTTGTGTGTACTGCAATTTAAATAAATAATTATATTGTATTTTAATCCGGCAAAATATCTTTAAAATAATTGTTGGAATAAGAACTAGCAAATAAATCACATATAGTGCATATTTATTCGTTTCAGATGACAAAGACCAAAAGAAAAGCCAAAAGATCTTGGCCGAGTTAGAAAACATTGATGACGAATGTGACCAAAACGACATTGCGTTCGTGAAAATCGATGACGATAAAGAAGCTAAAGAATATGGAATTGAAACAATTCCAACCATGGTCTTATTTGAAAAGGGTATTCCTCATGTATATGAGGGTGATCTTATGAAGGAAGAAGAACTTTTAGGATGGTTGATTCATCAGAAACGTCACAGTGAAATTCCCGAAGTAACAGATGAAATGATGGACAAACTTATAGACAGTGCTAAGTACTTAGCTGTTATTTTCTGTAAGTGTATTTTAATATCTTTCTAACTTTTTTTTTATGATTGGACAATTCACACCAATTGACCTAGTCCCATGCTAAGCTGGTGAAGCTTGTGTTATGGGTACTAGGCAACGGATATACATACATATTATAGATAGATAGACATATAAATACATATTTAAACACCTAAGCACAACACCAAATGCTCATCACATCGATGTTTGTCTCAGCCGGGGATCGAACCCGGGATCCATGGATTCGCAGTCAGGGGTACTAACGACTAGCCGTCAACTAATGTAACGAATTCTCAGAAAAATAATCATTTATCAGTTTAATTTAAAATATCTTAATATATATTAAGATATTTTATATAAATATATATGATGCTTATATAAGCATACCTTAATTTAAGGGTAATTAGAATTTAGCAAATGTGGGATCAAATCACAATTTTAACAAACATAATATATTGTGTGTGTTTTCTTACTCTTCTATTCATGATCATTACATAGGTACTATGTGATATATACTGTTTCAGATGATAAAGAGGACAAACAAGATATAAGAATATTGAACGAACTGGAAAACATTGATGATGAATTGGAGAAAGAAGGAATTGTTATAGTCAGGATGGACAATGATGAGGAAGCAAAGGAATTCGGTATTGATCACCTCCCTACTTTAGTATATTTTGAAGATAACATCCCGGCTATTTACGAAGGGGATCTGATGAACGAAGATGAAGTATTAGCATGGTTGATTGAACAGAAAAACACCGCAACCATTGAGGAGGTTACTGACGAAATTCTAACAGATCTCATTGAAGAGCATGAATATGTTGTCGTCTATTTCAGTGAGTAACTAATTGGTTATTATAAATGTGTAATCTAAAGTGTTTTCTAGGTCCATTGATTGATTTAAAAATCACGAGGTTATATTTACGATCGTTTATCTTAAACCAGGCACAAAAAGGAGTTTATCTCTTAACATAATTTGCGAAAAAACATGCCATTGCACTCAGCCATTGTCAACAATCTTCATGTCAATAGATTTTTGTGTGCAATATAAGTTTATAATAATTCCCGGAAGAATCAACAGCCATTTAAAGTCCGACTAGTATGTGCCGCAAATGAGCAGAATTTTCTTAGTTATAAATCACTGGTTCGGAATAGGGTAGGTATTAATACAATACATCCTTTACAGGCGGAAACTGCGAAGAAGGTGAAGAATGTGATAACATCTTGGAGGAGCTTGAGAACATTGATGACGAATTGGATGAAACGGGAATAATATTTGTGACCACTGAAGATACGTCGTTAGCTAAAAAATATGGAATCAAATCTTTCCCAGCATTAGTATTCTTCAGGAATAAGGAACCTCTAATATTTAAGGGTTTGTTCAGTTTTTTCCACTTTGTTGTTTCTGTAAAGTGTCGAGCGTTATATAACGCTGTATATATATAACAAATAATAATAATCCAGACCTTTTAAAACAATGCCTCACCGATTTCACTGGAACAAAATCGGGTTATAACCTGCTAGCTATAGCTAGACAATTAAAATTCGGTTAAAACAGTACTAATTGTTTTTATTATGAATGTTATAATGTGGTTGTATATTATTTCATCATCTGTCGTAATTAAACTAGAAAATGACGTGATATGAAGGTTGCCTATTAAATAAAATAAATTTGATTAAAATACAGGAAAATTTTAATCAAATTTATTTTACATGGTTATAATTTAGATGGACTTTTATAATTTTAAAACTTATGTTAAAGGTGACATAGAGGACGAGGACGAGGTCCTTGCATGGCTCACAGATGAAGACACTTTGGAAATTCCAGGAAAAATTGAAGAAGTTAATTCCCGGATGTTGGAAAAAATTTTAGAGGAAAACGACCATGTTGTAGTTTTCTTCTGTAAGTATTTGTAATTTTTTTTAAAGTTACAAAAATGTATATTAAAACTTTTCATTCTAACATTTTTGTTTAAGATAAGGAAAGTGATAAAAAATCACAGAAAATTTTAAGCGAGTTAGAAAATATTGACGATGAATGTGAAGAAGAAAATATTGATTTTATTAAAACATCCGATGAAGGCGTTGAGAAGGAATATGATTTGCCAGGCTTACCAGCATTAGCTTTCTACCGACACAAATTCAGAACGATCTATGAGGGTGATCTGATGCACGAAGAAGCCATTCTAAAATGGGTTTTGGATCTTCAACACTCACAGCCAGAAGTCATCGAAAATGTAGACAGAAAAACGTTAAAAGACCTCATTAATGATGTTGAGCATTTAGCCGTATTCTTCTGTAAGTATGCAATACCTTTAATTATAATTATTTATTATATATTAAACTACAAATAAAAAGAAGATTTTATAATTATACTTTTAGATTGTAACGATTTAAATACGTATGTATTTTCAGATAACGATGACTGTGATACCTGTGATGAGATTTTAGAAGAATTAGAAACAATTGATGATGACACCGACAAACATGGAATACAGTTTGTGAAATCTAAAGATTCTAAGCTTGCGTCCGATATTGGTATATTTAGTTTTCCAGCGTTGGTATACTATGAGACTGGAGTACCAATCATGTATGATGGTAAGTTTTAAATAGGATTCGTGAAAGGAGAGTTTATTTTCAGAACAAGGAGATAAAACTTGTATGGTTAGTAAATAATTTAAGGTTAGTCGACATCACAGGAGACCGAAGAGCTGGCAGCTACCTCGGACAAAGATTTAGCCTAGCTATTCAGATGGGGAACGCTGCCAGTATCTTCGTAACCTTGCCTAAAGGGACTCCTTTTAATAATATATTTTAGTTATTATATTTTAAGGTTAGTTATTGCTTTTTGTTATATTAATTTATGTTAGAGTATTATGTTATTTTTTTTTATTATTTAAATATAACTATTTAGTATAATAATTTATAAATGATTAATCTGTTTATAGGTAACTTAAAGAACGAAAATAAGGTTCTCCAGTGGCTAATAGATCAAAAAAGTAAGAATCCACATCCATTTTCAAACGTTACTATAATTGGTTTATCTTTAATTATTTCTATGTTATATACAAAAAATAAATACATGCATGACATCATTCTAGACATCAAAAATTCTTTCAAAAGTCTTAAGCCTAAAATGCTGTATGTTTGAGCTACGTCACTTTGCATGACAGTTACTAATGCCTGCAGGTGAAGATACCCACCGAATATGAGCTAATTGTTATAATGGCCAATGCAGATGTTAAAATAATAACTGGGTCCATGAGGCATTATTAGCCATATCGAAAATAAGAAATGAAAATTTCATGGAACTTAGTCGTATCAACAAAAATGGAAACTTTGAAGATGGTTTTTCCAGGAGCCGTTTCAAGCAAACTCGTCAAAGGTGGCAAGAGTAAAAGGCAACAAAATAGGAATACACGGTTCCGCAATAATGATGATGATGACGATGACGACAATGATGACGATGACAATGACGATAATAGCGACGATGACGATATTAATAATAGGTTTAAAAAGCTTTCGAAACTACCTGATAAATTAAAAAGGATAGTGAGTTCCAATTCCAGATTAAGTTCTTCGAAATCTTATTCTCCTAAAAACAGAGTAAGTGTAAATGGTGACGATGATGATGACGACGAAGACGATGACGACGAAGACGATGACGACAATGACGATGACGACGACGACGAAGAAGATGATGATGATGATGATGAAGACGATGACGACGATGACGACGATGATGAAGATGATAAAGACCATGACGATAGTGACAACGACGAGGATGATGACGACGACGACGATGATGACGATGACGAGGACGATGATGAAGATGAAGAAAGTAATTCAAATAGCCTAAAAACCGCCTTTGCAGGTAATTGAGTAAGCACTAATCGGTAGAGAGGTCCCTGCACGGAGGCACACGCACAGATGTCCCCAGTTACACATCTGCATGGTCGATAATCGAAACGAACCCGCATGGGTCCATAACCAGCTGTTGCCTGCAGTCATACGCGAACGCTTAGCAATTAAAAACTTCTTTAAACTCTTATGATTACTAACACAACATGTAAGATTAATAACGCGTTCTTCTCTCGCGTGGTTAATTTTAAATATGCACAATATTAACGCAAGTAACTGTTATTTTGGTTTCAATATGCCGGTATAAACCATAAATTTTTACTGACTGCAGGCGATCGCTGTTTCTACATTGGATTGGGGGCGAAACCGGCTGTGCCAAAAGTGACATACGAACCATACCAGTGCTGTCCCACTAAAGTACAAAGTCCGACGAAAGTAGCCAAGGCGACCCCGACCAAAGTTCCGGCGAAGAAGCTTGGAAAGGATAAACCAGTGTTACCAGAGAAACCTACTAAGGGAAAGAATAAAGCACTTGCCAGGCCAGAAAAAGGCAAAGGAAAAAAAGGTTTATTCGACTCTGAAAACATTTGGTGGTGGTAATGATGGTAATTCTAGCAGGAATATCATAAGATATTGTTGTTAGACACGCGTGCGCGTATCAAGTGGACACGATTGCATTTTAAAATCTCACCAAAAGTCTGTAACTTAGTTATTTTATTAAATCTAACGCTGCATCAAATTCCTCTGCTATATTAACATCTCCAGTAACTTCGTGTCCCTTGGTCCTTGCAAGCACTTCGCGAGGTGTTTATAGTTTACTTTATAATTATTGCACTTTGACTTTTCGCTGCATATCTCGATCTAAAAATTTTCGATGCAGCCTATACTGTTCTGTCATCATGACCAATGTATAATTTTGTACACGGCAATATTACCGTGCCGTGCGTTCACTTTAAATATTGGGATATTTAGAAACTTTGTAAGTTGGTGTATAAATCGTTATGTATATTGTAAATTTTATTCCAATGTTAGAAATTAACGATGACACAACACAGAGGCATTTTAACTTCACTTACTTTGCCACATTGAAAGACTTATCGTTGTAAGGATTTCATGTTCATAAATAGTTTTCTAGATTTCATGGAATCTCATTAAGCACATACTTACTTTTAATTCACTCTCTCTGTTATTATATGTATAATTAGATTAATGTATTTTGTATCGCCACTTTAATAATAGGTATCTACAATTAATCTCTCTTTTGCAATTATAAGCAAATGCAATGCTACATTTTATTGTTTTTCATATTATTTATTTATTATATTATGTATGCGTCTGAGATTAGTAAGTCGATCATATAAACTTTTGTCTAAAAATTAATATCTAAGTAAATACAAGATAGTTTTTACAAAAGAATATCAACCTGTGAGACAGAAGTCACGAAACTTTGCTCCAATACTAGCGTTGTGAATAATGTTAAAGTTTTGTTGTCTGATCGACATCTCGCATGAATGTTAATTTTATTTATTCGTTATGTTGAATCTGTTGAGTCGACGCTGGTACAATATTTTTGTTAAATAAATACATTTTAATTAATTATATATTTTATTATTATACACGAATGATGTCAGCATGGTATTATAATACATAGTAGTCCACGCATGTCAATTATTGGATGTTTAATGGTGAGTTTTTAAAATATACAAAAATGGATGTGGATCCTTGCTTATATATTTTTTATTAGGTAGATTCAGAAATGCAATAAATTTAAAAATATTTTAGGTAATCTTTTTGACGAAAACGAAGTTCTGGAATGGATGGTTAAACAAAAAGAAGATGAAAGCATCGAAGAAATAAACAGAGACAAACTATTTAAATACATTGAAACAAAGGAATTTTTGGCAGTTGTTTTCTGTAAGTATCAAATAAATACAATATTGTAATTAATTGTCATGTTTCGAAAGAGGCGTTTTTGTATTAAAAAAAGTCAAATCATCGCTTATGTAAGTAGCTAACATATTTATGGACGCTACGCTACGCTTATGGATATGTTGTACCGTCGTTGATTTATTTATTATAAATATATATGTGGTGCCTGTTCTTAAATAAAAGGGCGTAGAATGGACCTAGAACTTCCGAATAAACTCTCCGCATTATAATCGGATATCTATTTTGTTTTGTTGTTCAATCCAAAAAAAAGTCAGAATTCTGTCCGATCTGTCGTATTTGTAATATTTATAAAAATAAAAAACACAATTTTTAGTAATTTCTATGCCTATTCAAACAATTGATATGATTTAGTATAAAAAATTTTAGATAAAGAAGAGGATCCCGGCAGCCCAAGAATTTTAAGACACGTTGAATTAATTGATGATGAAGCTGCTGAATATGGAATAAAAATTGTAAAATGCAGCGATCGTCTAATGGCTAAGAAATATGGATTTCGAAATCCACCTGGAATAACATACTTCAGGAAAACGAAGGCTATTAATTACGATGGCGATATGGATGACGAGGAAGAAATTTTGGATTGGTTAACGAATCCTGAAAATATGGAACTGACTGATCATATCGAGAAAGTGAACAAAAAGATGTTTCAGAAAATAAGACAAACGTCGGATTATGTCGCCGTATTCTTTTGTGAGTTTCTTGTTTAAATTACTATTTATATTTGAACGTCGCGATGATCCGACACATGTAACATTAAGTTTTAGCTATTTTCTCTGAAATTGGTTTTACTTAAATACATTTAAGAAAAACAGATTTTAATTTTAGATGGTATTGCATATATTACATGTTTTAGACAGTAATGACTGCAAACAGTGTCCCCGAGTGCTGGCTGAGATCGAACACATAGATGATGATGCGGATGGAGCAGGGATCAACTTTGTGAAGATTGACGATAGACAGATGGCCAAAGAATTCGGGGTATTCGCATTACCAGCAGTTCTCTTTTTCAAAATGGGTTCCAAAGATCCTGTTATATACGCAGGTAATAATTCCTTATTAACTTTATAATGTAGATATAATGGTGGATGTATGAAAAACTTAGGTACCTACATTTTATTTAGGGTTATCTTTGAGAATTTATCCTGACTATTGAAGGAATGACAACGGCAGAAGAAATGAAGAATGAAACATTTAGCACTTATTAACTTAAAAAAGTTAATCTAACGTAAAATAAAAATAAATAAAATATTTGGGTGATCAAGGCACTGACAATTATTTTCTTGGCACTTTTCAAAGATCGTTGAGATCAAAATACTTAAATTTTTACACGCTTTAAATATTTCAGGGGATTTATATGATGAACAACAACTATTGAGTTGGCTTCTTGTCCAAAAAAATCCTGCAGGAGATGTTATAGAAGCGCTCGAGGGTCAGGAACTATTAGATTTAATTGAAGACTCATCTTCGATAGCTGTTTATTTCTGTAAGTTTTATTTTATTAATACAATGAAAGTGAGTTTTATTCGACTCTGTAATGTCAGGAATCTTATACTAATTTTTTATCAATATGGCGGCGTCCAACAGTCTATTTATTTGGAGTGTAAAAAAGATTTGCACTAAATTCGTTAACCACAAAACACTTTATAATACAATATTAAAGTACCTACGTATTTTTAAAAGTAAAGTATAGGCAGTACTGTTCTTAATTTATAATAATTATTCTGCTTCTTAATAGGGAACAAAACTTTATGTGAACTGTGTCATGCGAAATCTACAGCAAAGAACACTAAAAAGAAATTTACCAAAGACCCCGACGAGGCTGAATTACCAGAGATAGAGGGTACTCAGGAGAATTATGAAATAGATTGAACCTATCCAATATTTTGTACTCAATCCAAGCAAGCATGCAGCATGCTTTTTGGCACACTCTGATAAACCCATTATTTGTGTACTACATACCTATGACCCATCTAAATACTGTGTATGTGTATACGTAGATAGTTCCTCCACAAATCACCATAGTCGTGACGTATTACCTAGAGTGATGTTTAGCCCGAGTCAATCAAACACAAAACAAAACTTAATATTAAAAGTAAATTTTCAGATTCATTGGACTGTGAGCAATGTACTGGAATTTTGGAGGAATTGGAAAATATAGATGACGATTGCGACAGACATGGAATTAAATTTGTTAAAACTCAAGATTATTCTATTGCGGAGTCGTTTGGAGCGACCGACTTTCCAGTGTTGGTTTACTTTGAAAATGGCATTCCCAATGTCTATGAAGGATCATTAGCGGAAGAGGAGGAAGTATTGCAGTGGTTGATAACTCAGAAAACTGAAGATCGCATTGAACTGATAACACGTGTTATGCTAGAGAAAATGGTGGATGAAACTCAATATTTAGCCGTCTATTTCTGTAAGCGTTCAATTTAAGTTTTTACTGATTCTAAGGCGTTTCTAAAATTACAGTTTTTGACCTTCTTGTAAATATATTTTTTTTATATTTAGGAATCTATTGATAAGTACACGATTCCTTATTCGCTAAGAATTAAGAAGTTAAACTAAGATAATGCTATTTGCAAGATCAGTAAAGTATAAAATTTTGTGTTGTTTACAGATAAATTAAATTGCCATATTTGTGATCACATATTAGAAGAGCTGGAGAATATAGATGACGAATGTGACGTATATGGTATACATATGGTCAAAATTCAAGATCCACAATTGGCAAAAAGATATTCAATCAAGACATTCCCTGCAATGGTATATTTCAGGTATTGTTATTGTTATAAAAATTTTAGAACAATTTTTTTTGAGGCACATTATCATATTCTTTATAGTTATTTAGTTTTCTCGTTAAATTGAATTAAATAAATAATAGACTTCGAAATTTGGTTTCCTCGTTAGATCACGTTAAAACGAATAAATGGAAATGATTTTACTAATCACTATCCTGCAAAAAACATAAGGCGTAGAAATGTATTTGCACCATACATCACCATAAACTTCACTTAGTTAAAAAGTAGAAAGTTTTATCTTTGAAATTACAGAAACGGCAATCCACTACTTTTTGAAGGCGATTTACAAAATGAGGAATCAATACTGGAATGGTTGATTGACGACGAAAATCGTGAACTAGCTGATGAAATAGAATCTGTCAATGAACGAATGTTGGAGAGATTATTATATGAGTCTCATTTACTGGCTGTTTTCTTCTGTAAGTGCATTACAAAGGATTTTTTAGAATAACCCTGGATGATAAAAATACTGGATGCCTGGATTAAAACTATACTCGGTTAAACTAATAAAAAAAGAAAAAAATTATTGATACATACATATCCATATCTTCCACTTTCAGAATCCAGGAGCCCAGGTTTTTTAAGATATCCGTACAATATCATATAATTTAAACGTGTTCTTAAATACATTTCAGACGATGACGAAGACTGTCCAGAATGCCAAGAAATTCTGGAAGCATTGGAACAAATAGACGGTGAAGTGGATCAATTCGGTATTGATTTTGTGAAAATTGCAAGCGCAGAGGCAGCCGCACAATATAACATCATAAATATTCCGTCTTTGGTGTATTTCCGCAAGAGGGTTCCGATGCCATACGATGGAGACTTGCATCAAGTAGATAGAGTACTCCAATGGCTGACGTCTCAAGAAGTTTTTGAAATCAAAAACGAAATTGAAGAGGTTAACCGGAAAATGCTGGATAAACTTCTAGAGGAGAACGAGTTTTTGGCGGTTTATTTCTGTAAGTACCGTTGGTTACCAAATTATCACTAATAACTTCCATACAAAGACGACATGTCAGCTTAGTTTTTTTGTACTAAAACATAATGAAATTCTTCAAACTTCTTACACAGCACAAATTAAAATAGATAATTTATTAGAAAATAAATCAATATTTTTATAAAACACACATGAATGTCAAAAAAGAAAAACATATTAAATGCATCTAATTTTAAATAAATAGCCAGTTCTCAAATCAAGGATCGGAATCGGATCGATCTCAAATCGTAGTACGGAAGAGAAGAGCTGGCAATAAACTCTCCGCCACTCTTTTTAATCGCCAAGAATATTCTGAATTCACGTAAAATTTTACGTTTTAGATGAAAACTCAGCGGAAAGCCGAATTGTCCTGGACAAACTGGAGAACATTGACAGCGAAACTGATAATTTAGACATCACATTTGTGAAGATGCACGACCCACGTTATGCTCGCAAATGGGGCGTGACTAAACTACCCGCTATCGTATACTTTAGGAAACGGTTCCCGAGTATTTACAGGGGTAAGGAACATAATTTTTAGCATTAATGTCTAAGTTCCAGTTTTTGATAAGAAACCTATTAATTTCCCATTTCATAATAATAAATAAGCCAAATTTCTCCATTCAACTAAATTATTCATCTGTCTCTTTTCATCATAGCGTAATCATAATTTAACAGAAAAGAATAAAAAGCACTTTAGTTAAAGAAGGGAATTAGATTGATTTAGTTTTTGTGAATTTGTCAGTTGTTTATGAATAAGGAGGTTTTTTTTATTTATCACATTTGTGCAACATTTAAAAAATCAAACTTGTTGTCTTTATGAAGATGTTCTTGTCTTGATGTTGATGATCTTGACATGCAAAAAGCGGTAAAAATTAACAATAAATTTTGTAACTATCAGGTGACGTTATGGCCGAAGAAGAGGTTTTGGAATGGCTGCGGAAGAACAGATTCCGGCAGCCGGAACTAAATATATTTATGTACGCATTGATAGCTTTATCGATAGCTTTTGTCATGTACACAGCTTTCCTGCTTCAATGCTTTAAGCCATCTCCAACGCCCACCACACAACATCCAAAACAGGCGTGAAACATTCTATGAAGAATATATGCAAGAGGTTTCTTGCACCAAAACAAACCTATATATAGCATTATCAACTATACTAAATCTTTAAAAAACAGGCGATACCGAACATGATTGTTCTAAAGTACTAATTAGCATAACTAACACGAAAATTTTTTCAGCTGGCATTATGTTTGTTAGTTGAATTTATAATTATTTCCGGTGTTTTCGAATGATTTAATTTTGAATATATTGACGTCACTTGCTTCTTCATAAGTCAGCATATTCGATACCGACCTTTGGTTTTAAGTTTAGACAAACTATAATTCTTCGTTCTGGCAGGAAAAATATATTTTTTTAATGACGATACTGGCGTTTTCACACATAAAAACGTGAAAGTAAAGCAAACAGGGAAAAAAGTTGTAAATGTTGCCATGTATTAATTATAAACATATTAAAACTTTCTAAAAACAGTTTAATCGTGATATTTAAACAATTCCTGACGGCCTGACTTCATGCGCTTCCGAAGTGTTTGAATACCCGAAGAGGCATCAAAGCCTTTTATTTATTAATATAAATGTATTTATCATGATATTATTTACTAATAAATAACGATTATTTATTGATACTTTTTCGTAATTAACGTATTTTGTCTTTTCAATCGCGTGTAGCTTTTTAATTGCAATTTAATTTAATTCATGAAAGACAGTTATATGAATTCGAATGTAGTAAATATGATACGTAATCAGTTTTAAGTTAAATTTTTCATTTATTTCATTATTTTATGTTTAGTTAACGGGCGGGACTTTAGATATTACGCCCGCATTTTGCTGAGTTATTACAGCTGATTATTACCGTTTTTTTTATTTTTCATTTGCCATTTTGACAATTATAGAAACTAAGGGTCTGTTTCACAATGTATGGATAAAGTACCAAATAGCTATGCAACACATAAATTATTTAGAAAATAAATTGTGCTTTTTGACATTCATCGGACTCATAACTAAAGTCGGAAAGACACTTACGTGTCGTGGCGTGTCGTGACGGGCCAGAAGCATATTTTAATATGATTAGACAGAACGTGTTGCGACACGACACAACATGCAAATATGTTTCTAATCATATTAAATGTATGAAACCAATATGCTTCTGGCGCGTCACGACGTGTGTTTCCGACTTTATGATGGACTTTATGTGACGAATAGCGCAATCTGACAGTCGTGAAACGCAACAATATTGTTTATCCTACCAATAAGTAATAAATAGCTAATTTGGAACTTATGTAGAACTTATCCGTACATTATGAAACAGACCCTTAGTGACATTATATATTTTAAAAGGATTTAAGACATAACATACCCGACTTTTAGAACAACTATCATAATTTAGATTCGTAATAATTCAGCGCAGATAACTTAGCAATATGCCCACCTATTTTCTATCATTCCCGCTCTATTGCTATCTTCGTCTCGTACTCAGTACCCAAAATAGTATTTCTTTATAATTAGAATAATTTAGAAAATAAGTTTATTCTGTTTCATTTTGTGTACTGAGTTTTGAGTTACAATTTTACAAGATTTTATATAAGTTATCGTTATGACGGAGCAACGGCGCTGGTAGTAACACCCTTGCTTCAACATAATTAATATAGACTATCAAATTACTACAGATTGTCAAATAGTCGTTAATTTGTAGATCTATTGATATCAGCAAATAATATAAAAGATATAACGGTTTTTAACAGTTGAAATGTTATTAAATTATAGTTATAATGGCAGCCAGATAAAGATACCAGCGCCATTGCTCCGACATATATCTATAAAAATGTGTTTTCTTGTTTATTATAAAGTGTTTCGATATTATTATAAGTCCTTTGAAGTTTTTGCGATTGCTCAAACGATTTCGCAAGCGATTAAATTTAATGTTGTATATAAATGTAAATAAATTTAAATAAAATAGTATATTTAAACGTGTTTCAATTTTATGTAAGGATTAATTAATGTAATAAAACTTCCAAAAAAGTATTAATTTATTGCTATTAATATTCGTAAAGTTATATAGTATTGATAACTTTTATGAACACTTATCAAAATAATAACAAAGTACAATAATCTAGGATCATTATATAAATGAAATAATATTAAACGAAAAATAATAATAACTATGTTATTAATAATATCTCTGAAATAAATTTATCTGAAAAAACTGTACCTTACAAAAATTTATTGAATAAAATTACTCTGTCTCTTTGGCTCTTAATATATTATGAACACAACACAATTTAAACCATATAAAGTATATCCTGTATACAGATGGTTTGGTAACGTATACTGGGGCTCGAGACAAAATTACTTTTCGATATACGTACGAATTTGTATGAAAATGGTCACGTGATAAAGCGTGAGCAAATATCATCCCCATTAGAGGGCCACGCCTGTCGAGTAGCGATTTTTTCTCATTGCCCTGATGCCAAGAGCAGATATCGCGGGATTGAACCACGGCAAGGTTCAGTGTCGAGACACATCCAGAAATCATACCCTATGTCTTCGAACGCGAAATATTCTCAATACCTGAGTAGTTCTAATTTAATAAATGCGAAAGTAATTCCACTTTAAAAACACATCATAAAATTTCAAAATTTAATAAAATTCACTCAATTCAATATGTAATGAATTTACAATGGAAAACAAAAAATTATCTAAGTATTATTGATACCAAGTATATCAGATACATGGTTTATGCATGATTAAATTTGCTTGCAGTTGAATTATTCTTATTAATCTATTACGTTCCGGTGTTGGCCACCTATTTTAATTTGTTGGTAACAATAAACTGGAATTAAAAAATACTATGTGATAATTAATGATATTTTCTCATGGTTCTTCAAATACTTAGGTTTTTCAGTCTCAAAGAGATCAATCAGTCGTTTTGTGAATTCGGCGTGTAAGGCGTTAATATCTTCGTCTGTTGGATCGAGATTCTTTTCAACTTCTAAAGGTGCGCCAACTGAAAAAACAGATTGATATATTGTAGCGCTAAATATTGTTTTGATTTTTATTTGCCATTGTGGAACTCATCAATATATATAGCACTTGCGAAGTGCCCCGGCTTCGCTCAGCTTGACTTGTTTAAAATATTTTGAAACCAAATTAAGCCTATGTTCGGAGTTTTTGAGTTGATTCGTTACAAACATGGAGAAACACAAAAAAACAACTTTACTCATGACAGAAATATGGTTGTGATAAAATTCATCTATCGCTAGTCTGGGGAGTACCCGTGTTGTGGGTAACTAGATTACAATTATTCCCTGGTGCATGTTTAAAACATTTTTTTAAAGAAGTTAGGGTTACATCTAATCTAACAACTCGTATAGATACCGGCAAACATCTTGAACAAATGTCCTTGCCTGCGCAGAAGCGATTTTTAGGTATCACTGGGAAGGGGGCGGCGGGAGAGTGACGTGATTGGTACATGAGTTGACGTTTGTGTCCCGCGTTTGTGTACAATGCGCAAACTTTCCCCCACTCCCTTGTTTAATGCTCAAGAAGTTTGCTGGTATCTGTATAAGACCTTAAGTATGCGAATGTATGACCATGTGAATGGATCAAATCTTTCCTCTTATATAATATTAGTATAGATGAAATTCTGATTATTTATTTAATATTCTGATTGTTATATTATGTAATTGACATTCAACTAAGACTAACAATGTATTGAAATCCATGGAATCTCTTCTAATGTTACTTTTCGTCTAATATCTAACTTTTGGATGTGTGTCATAATATGTGTTTTTGTTTTTTGAGACTTTATATTTGTGTCATTAATAATTAATTATCTAAGATATGAACAAAGGTAAGGACAATTGTACAAGACATATCAATATAATATAAATATGTATCCTTAAATACGCAGATGTGAATAAAAAAAATTGCGCCTTTTGAAATTGTATAGCAATAGTTGCATTAAAGCATTGCATAATTAAAAAAATATGTTTTTAATTATGTTAACTCCCCAATAGAAATGCAGACATAATTCTACGTTTACTTCATTGTTCATTTTTCTTTATTGGTAAGTAGGTGATTAGCCTCCTGAAATAGACATTTGTCGAAGATGTTTAGGAGTATGCTCGACATAATGATGTTTTCCACATATTATGATAATATGGAATAAATAAATAAATACTTAAATAAATAAATATTGAAAACAAAAAATGCACAGACTTCGATCCCACGAACTAAGGCTTGACTATTAAATGACTAAGCTCAATGCATGATTGAAAAAAAAATATACTCACCGACAGTGGTAATAGGTGATCGCAAAGGTAGAACTCCAAATGAATACTGAAAGAGTCCTCTTCCAATAGGAAACATTGGTGAAATGCCAGTCACCTGACGCACCTTCTCCTGGAATTTGCGTAGGAAGCTGTCCTGGGGATTGTGAGGGGGTCTGAACACGTCTGTTTCACCGAAGGAGAACACTGGAACTATGGGTGCTCTGAAAAAATCGTATTAAAAGGGTATCTAACTATACTTCAGCTTTCTTTTGTTATTTAAAATAGGAATCTGCCTTTGTACTTCCAAAGACAATTAAAGTAAATACTAAATAGACTAATCATTGCTATGGATAAGCTGTAACTTACGCAATTGCAAATTTTGACATTGGATGTCACAAGCTGTATCAACATAATAATAATTAGAAATGTTCCGCTGCGAGACATCGCTTTAAAAACCCTTTCTACGCACTGAAGCCCGAGCAAGGCTGTCAATTGTGATACATTAATTGTATCATTATATCATTATCAATTGTATATAATAACGTATGTCTTATATTATTTATTTGTTTTCGTATCTAATATTCTGTAATCCAACTCCCGGTAGTTTCGTGATTTTTGTCAATGAAATTAAATTGAGCGAAAACTATTCCATACAAAAATGTGTCCAACGCTCGATATTGTCCTGGTTCGAAACTTAACTTATGTACAGCTATATAGATAAAAATAATATGTGCATGTATTCAGGAAATATACCACCAAACGTAGTGATTTCACGATTTAAATTTACGATTCGATTTGGTTTTAATTACAATTTAAAAAAAAATAATAATCTGAACTAAAACGACTTGAAAACTGAATCAATCAGGAATAAGTTACTAGTGTCTTCTAAAATAAATGTAAAAATTCGCTGACAAATTGGAAGGTTACAAACACGTTAGTTGACTTACTATTCCTACTTTCAGTTTAACAAAGAACTTACCCGGACTTCATAGCAACCCGAATAAAACCTTTTCGTCTGGTCAAAATCACTTTGTACTCCCCAGGATGTGAATCCAAAGCCTCAGCTGCTCCACCAACAATCAGACACACGCATGTTCCTTGACTGCGTTTTACATCCAACAGATACTCCAAACTTTCCCTTGAAGACGAACAAGTCCCAAAAGCAAGTAAAAGTTCCCGGAAAATGGGAACCAGGAAATGCCCAGCCAAGGTAATCATATGGCAACTCAAGCCTGGAAAAACTTTGTGGAAATCCAGAGCATTTGTTGCGAATGCTCCAAAAGCCCCGGAGCAGACAACGCCGTGTGGAAAGCACGCGAAGAGATAGTTCCTATTCGGTTCCAAGTCAACGGTTTTCACAAGTTTAATTGGAAAGTAATCTCTATAGTAACGCCACCACGCCCAGTTTCGCACCCATTGGATTCTGAAAGATTTTATAAATACCATTTAAATAACACGAATAATGACGTTTATTAGTAATCATAACAATCAAATATACGGTATTTACAATTTTCTTAACCTACATAGTAATAATAAATAATTAATATAAAAAAATTAGAACAAATTTAAAAAGTTTGGTTCCTGTGGCAGTGTACCTTTAACGCTGGCAGCATTTCCTCGCTTCACGAATAATAACTTAATAATAAGAAATATAGCAATATTTCATTAATATTTGTAATTTAATTTGTAAGAACGAGATAATTATTACCAGGAGAATCAAAACTAGCGGATAAGCGAGCCGTAGGTATGTATAAAATACATTGATATACAAAAAACCCAAGATGCACAGTCTCGAATAAAAGTAACACTCGAAAGTGTCCCGAAACACTATTTCTGTCTCTTTCTATAAGTTACAAGCATATATTATTGCAAAATCAACCTTACATGAATTGTTTAAAGTTGTTATTACAACGCAGTGAACTTAAAGCAATAAAATTTTACGACCGACCGTGGTCGGTAGGACAAGGTATTGAGTGGAGTCGAACATGACTTTTTTATTTACAACTATTTAACATAATTTTAAATTTATCCGACGTTTCGCGTGCTTTACAGCGTGCGTGGTCACGGTGGCTGAAGACAAAAGGTGTTGGATGTTAAATAGTTGTAAATTTATAATAATACATAACTTTAATCCGGTTAAAAAGTTTTTTTCTTTAAATTAAAAAAAATGTTAAATTGGCTACCTCCTGACCTACACTTTATATAGCGTAAATATATTTGTCAAAAACTACACACAAAAAAGTTCAAAAGTACATAAATTTATTTATAAAAAAAAACACAAATAAATAACATCGACTCCACTTATTAGAACAGGGTCATTCTTATAATGCGACTAAAATAAAAAGAAGACTGTAATGCGTTGTTCTAACACTGAACAAGCAGCCATTGAAGTTGGCCGTATAGAAGTTTGTGCGTTGAATGAAGATTTTAGAAAAAATAAATAAAAATCACACATTGCTTGTTATAATCAGTCATAAAAACAACAAAAACTAATCAATAAAGTTTTTTAATTACCGAAAATACGATATCCCATCCTTTTTTTAGCCTTCTTGACGTTATATTTTTACAATTTCTCACAGAACACTTTGGCATTTTTAACAACTGCTCCCAGACGCGAGCGACGCGAGACTATTTGAAATGAGCGTACAATTTAGAATGTTGCGCTCATTTTTTGAGGACGTTTTTTAGACGTTGAGTGTGCATCTTGGGTCTTTGTATATCAATGATAAAATGCTTATTTCTAGTAAGGCAGGGATAACAAAGAAAATAAAAGAAAAGAAAATTTTCTAGAAGGTCAGTATTAAAGTTATGTATTTTACACAAATAAATAAGGTCCATAAAGTCACGTGGGAGTTATGGGGATGATACCCTAGTATCTAACTCGATATACTTAGTTTAAACGTACTTTTGCAATAGACCACGCAACTGTAGACGATTGTAATGTTTTCTAAGAAAACGTTTTCGTTTTTAAACTGTCTTCATAGTATTTAGAAACATTATTTAAGATAAAGTATTGTACTTACGTTCGTCCTCCTTTATGACAAATGTCGATATCATTTAGCATCCACACTCCATACAACAAGCCCAAGTACCAATATGAAGAGTAAATAATTTTAATGAATAGAAGTATAGCAACTGCTTCGCTGAAGAGTACGAGGCAGATCCAGCCAGTGGCCGCCAGGGTCTGAAGCCTTCGTGAAATTGGTACATTTATGGGTGCCCATTCTATGCCTAATGCCACGGACAAGTTCCTGAAAATTATAAACATAATTGCAGTGATTAACGGAAATTTTAATATTAAATATTAGTTTTATTACAAACTAGCTGACCCGGCGAACTTCGTACCGCCTAACAGTCAATGAATGTCGTGTTACAGATTAGCTGAACATAATTTATGATTTTATGAACGTATTACAATGAATAGGTACTAAATAAATATTAATTCACTACTATCACTGAATAGATGCTTAACATTACAATGTGCCTTGATTTGTTGTATATTTACGTAGCTTTATATATTTTCCTTAGTTTACGCAAAATAAGTTTCTGAATGCAAACATAATCCTTTTGGAATACTGACATTATTCTACATTTTAAAATCCAAAATACGCCATTATGCCAATATTGTGGACAAATCTAGTCCATTCAAAACCTTTTTTTTTAATGTTTGGCAGTTAGGAAAACCGAAAAGATTTCAAATACATAATGTATTGGAAAACGCTTTTGTTTTATTTTTTCGTGAATTTTCCAATATTTTAAATAGTTATTCTGCTATTCGGGGCGGAGCCACACTATAAAGCCATGAAAATCGGTACGGTTGGGTTAGGTTGGTCAGTACAGAGCAAGGTGCAAAAAAGATCAGAAACGCGGGACCAGGACGCGCCAGAGGACATGGCTTTGTTTTATAGCGAAACACTGATTACTTTGGGTTTGACACAGATAGACGTCAAGTCAATAATATTTAAATAGATCGTAGATAGAGTATAGAACTAAATGAGCTTCTAAAATAACAATAATAACTAAAGAGAGAAGGCGTTAACGTGCAATACTTAAGTGCGAGCGAAGCAGAGTATCAGTTTTTCTGTCTCTATTTGAGTATCGGGTTTTATTTGTTTACCACCGAGCCCTTGGTGGTAAACAAGTTTTCACCGCTTACTGATAAATCGGTAAAACTCAAGTCAAACCCATATTTTAAGACTATATCCTTATAAGAGGTGTATTTGAAGTGTCAGTCGTGGTGAATTGTTGCATAATTGGATGTAAAAGCTATAGTGAACGTAATGAACCAAACATCTTTCATCGGTAAGTAGCTTATTTTGTCACGACTCAGTAACTTTGTTCAAGAATTTTTAATTCGAATGTGTATTTTGGTCAATAATAAGCAATCTTCAATGAATTAAAACTGTAAATATGACATAATATGTCGATCATTCGCTATCTCACACGCTGTACGCTGATGCCTGGTCTATACCATAGTCCGTCTACGAAATAGATACTTCACTGACGTATTAAATATTTTGTAGTTAATACTCGTAATGTCATAATAATAAGAACGTTTTGTATAATGTAAAGTCTTTTCGTCTAAACAAATATCAGTTAGAGTATTACATTAATTATTTGCTATGTCAAATAATCAAATACATTTAATACAAGGTCACACGTTTAACGTTTTTTACTGAAGCAAGTACCTATTCATACGGCTAGTAAGAAAATTGCATGAATTGAATGTTCGTAGAAATAAATCGGTGAAAAAAAGCTTACCTAATTGAAAAGCGGACTAACCTAACTTTCAAGAATCGCTGTAATTTTCAACTAAATTATATCTGTACCATGCGTAATAAAGAAATGGAAACGTCTTATCGGAACTAGGTAAATCTTTTCGTATAGTTTAATGACTGATATGAGGGTTAATCAAACTTCTATATTTACACAATATCGAGACCTGTTTGTAATATGTAATCGTATATTTCACAATAATTTACACGTTAGAATTTATTTGTGACATTTTAATAAATAATTCCTAGCTAAGTTACTAGCTTTGACGCGTGACTTCGTGTATTCTGACAAGATTTTTCCGTCTTCAACAATGATCGTTAGATCCGATATCACTTCCAGAAAATTTACATAAAATCTTTTTACTAATTAACCATACATGTAAGCATTCCAGGAATGTATTACTTCTTTATTAAGAAAACCATACAATGCGGGGCTTTATTTTATACCTAACATGTAAGAATGTTCGAAAACGTTTATGGATTTATTTCATTATCTAAATAAAGCAGTACGATGCGTGCGACTCATGACAATAAAGACAAGCGTCCGAGCCCAGTTCGATTTTTTCTTCTTCTTACAACGAAAACATTATCTTAGACGCAATTTTTGCATCTTTGCCTAAAGGAAATTTAATAATGAAAGACGCACAAATGTTACACCAGAAATAATATAATTTCAATGTAATTGAGAATATTGAAATTGTATTATTATCTAACCTAACCTACACACTTTTTGCTTTACAAAAAAAACATGAATGTATTATTAGGAAACACAAAAGATTAGAACGTGTAGGTACTTTAGACTTTTAAAATCTACCGAGGTTAGGTTAGTAACAAGCCCGTTCGCACGAAGTCTAGAAATAAAAGTGAGTCAACGCCGGTGTTGCCATGCTTTATATAGGTTTCTGCTACAAGATGGCGTTAGTCCGCTAACACGGCCTCTCCTGACACCCTGACGTCCTCGTCAGGATTTGATGTCCCAGCGTCTATACTGTCATCTCTGTGGGTAGAATAGAACGTTAGAAAATTACAGTTCTGGGAAGGTATTGCGTCGTCTATTTGGTCAGCAGCTGAACATATTTACTTGGTTTAGTACAAACAATCAAAGTTATGAAAGATAGAAAGGACCTTTAAAGTATCAGACTCCAAGGAATGAGTGCAAGATTATTTATAACCCTTACAAGATTTGAAACAAACTATCACTTTCATGTGTAAAGGACTTGTGTAAACAATTACAAGTTTAGTGTCACCATAAGGTATAAAGGTGTACTTATTTCTCAAGAAGATCGTGAGTTTGGGGCTGGTTACCCTGTCCATTGATCTTTTTACCATTCATAAAGGAAGATCGTGAGTTTGGGGCTGGTTACCCTGTCCATTTATCTTTTTACCATTCATACAGGAAGATCATGAGTTTGGGGCTAGTTACCCTGTCCATTGATCTTTTTACCATTAATACAGGAAGATCGTGAGTTTGGGGCTGGTTAACCTGTCCATTGATCTTGTTACCATTTATACAGGAAGATCGTGAGTTTGGGGCTGGCTACCCTGTCCATTGATCTTTTTACAATTTATACAGGAAGATCGTGAGTTTGGGACTGGTTACCCTGTCCATTGATCTTTTACCATTTATACAGGAAGATCGTGAGTTTGGGGCTGGTTACCCTGTCCATTGATCTTTCAAAAGCAAATACATATTACAGAATTAGATAGCTTCAGACTTAACACAAATAAAGATAAAACTCAGCATATTTGCAATACACCGTCGTATCGACAGTGGCTCCTAGTGCTCTCATAACCGACAATTTTTTAAAACAGAGACTCATACATTTTGCATGTTCTCTAAGTGGTCTAAACACATTAGCACCAGAAAAACTTAAAACAGAGACCCATACACTTGTATGTTCTCAAAGTGGTCTAAACACATTAGCACCACAAAAATTTAAAACAGAAACCCATACCTTTGCATGTTCTTAATAACAAAGACCAGATCATCCTTCTGGAATTTACAAGGGGGGGTCTACGACCCACATAAACGACAGTGTCCTGATTGATTTGACTGTTCTTCAACCGTTCGGCCGTCCTCTGTCAAAGCATCTCTCGTCTACCTTGCCGACTAGACGATCCCGAATTTAATGCGACACTGTTGCACTCTTATGACAAACACAAACAACACTTTAACACAAAGAGCACTTTTAAAATGTTAATCACTCGTGACTTCGTACATTACGGACACAAAGAGAAGGAACATTTAAACCACAAAGATTACTCAAAACAAAACAAAAGAGAAGTGAGCGAAAAGTTCAAATCCCAATTCTGATATTAGGAAACACAAAAGATTAGAACGTGTAGGTACTTTAGACTTTTAAAATCTACCGAGGTTAGGTTAGTAACAAGCCCGTTCGCACGAAGTCTAGAAATAAAAGTGAGTCAACGCCGGTGTTGCCATGCTTTATATAGGTTTCTGCTACAAGATGGCGTTAGTCCGCTAACAGTATAATATATTAACTAAATCGCATCTGGTCCTAAGCTAGGCTAGCTCGCAAAAGAAAGTCAGTCAGTCCGTGAAAAGACAATTAATAAAAATAAATCGCAGTTGAATATCTAAATACTACTTAGGTAATCTGTACCTTATTCGATTGTTAATTAAAATAACAGAAAATGGTGAAATAATGTCGTAAATAATATAAACCTTTAAACCTTAATTCAAATACTTACCGTTCTAGTATTATAGAAATACCATTTAAAACTTCGTAGTTAATAATATTTAACAGGTGGTCCCTGTTAGCGAATCCCGGAGACGACAAATTAAATGGGGAGCATTAGTACGGGATTGACCCCGTTCTATGCCGTCCCTCGTAAATTAAAGTGATTACTGTAATTTGTTTATGAAAGATAATAAATATATTAATTAAAGTATTTCGATATACCCCCCGGTTTTGTAAATATGTAACTTCTTGATATTTTACAAAAAGATAAGTAGTTTGTGTTTACTACTTTAAGATAATATTTAAAGAACGGAGATCCATTACGTTTTTGATAAACAGAATTAATACTTAGTGCAAAGTCTTGACTCTGAATCTCACATGGAATTAGGTTATGAACCTAACTCTAAACTGATAAAGCCTAGGTATTATGGTCCTCCTGGTCTCCATCTCCCGAAAGTTTCAATAATATACAGGGGAATGGATGATATACTTAAGTATTTTAAAGTACCTATTATATATTTAAAAATTAAAGGATTGAAAATAATGCAGTAATCAAAAAAATTAGACTTCGTAAACATTAAAACATGAATAACTTGATAAGGGTTTTATTTATCATTAAATAACTGAATTACAGACTATCTATTATTATTAACTGTATGTAGGTACCTAATTATTTTATTTACATTATTTCAATAATTTATAGATACAAAAGGATTTAGAACCGGCATATTTCTTTATCTTTTTAATTATCTCATATGTAATACGAAAAATATTGTATATATATATATATATAACTAAATTCTTATAAAAACCAAAAACTAATGTTTAAAAATTACCTACATACTTCTAAAATTCGCTAAAATCTAAATTATAATAAATTTTACTCACATAAATGTATTCCAAAAGGTTTTAAACATTGTGATTCCCACGTGTTTAAACACGATCACATATCACCACAATCCACATGTAACTAATCTTGTTATCTACGAATCGTACGAGTTTAGAAAATTATTCCGCGCGTACATTGTCGACTAAGTATCAAAGAGAAAACTTTGAACTTGAATCATGTACCCTCATTAACACAAAAGATTAAACTAACAAAGGATAGAATGATTAATTTTAGTTATCTACCGTTAAAGTAGCCTCGATAAAATGTGACCTACATACGAGTATTATATTGTTTTTCTCTTTTCGTTAATCTTTTAATATATGTATCAAGGAAATTTTTTAATAATTATTATTTGATTGTATTTTATATTACAGAGAACAACTGAGGCCAAGGTGAGCAAGAAACTAGATATCATTACATGCTGCGATGCGTACCATAATATAATCAGTTGTTATAAGAACTATTTTATGGACTTCATTAAAAAGTCTAAGAATTAATCAAGTGTGAACATGATGCATCAGGTTGGATTGGGAAAATATCTGTTATTTTGAGTGTTGTGATAAATTTTACCAACTAATTAAGTAATTTTAAGGTGGTTTTTAAAATAAATTATTGTTATAAATAATGAAGATCACATTCAGTGACATACTTTAATAAAATTAAAAGCATTTTAATCAAATACAACGAAAAATGAATCATTAACTGTTTTGTATAATTTCTTTGTAATCTTTAATCCTTTGCTCAGTTTCTTTGATGCTGTCTTTTAAATCCTTATGGATTTCAGTGTAGGCTTTGATAGAATCATTAGTTTCCGTATAAATATTTTGCAGGATGTTCAAATGCATAATTCTGAAACAAATATACATGAAATTAAAAAAATCTAATAATTAAAATAGAAATGTGAGCTGTGTAATATTGAATTTGGTTTTAATTTTAAAAACATGACATGACTTGTATGTTAACTGAAACTTGTGTAAATTAAAGGAAATATAACATTTCAATTGAAAATATATGTTAAATACATACCTTGATTTAACTTCCAATATTTTAGTTTTTAGTGTCAAAAGTTCAGTAGTATTCGTTGTAAATGTCGAAACATAGTTCAATCTATGATTAAGCCATTCCATCATTAAATCCACCTTTTCATTCTCCTGCTCTTTCAATACAGTTATTTTATCATCTAAGCTATTATGTAATTCTTGTATGGTATTTTTGTGAGATTTTTTAGCTCCTATTGCCTGCTGCAGTTGATTTAATTCAGCATTATATATTGGTAGTTTAGTTTGTATTCTGTTCAAAATAGCTTCATTTAATTCTGTTTGCTCATCAAAGGTTAACTCTGTTGCTGTCTGGTTCATAAACCCTATAAAATTTAAATCATTAGACTATGCAGTAGAATAACCAATTTCTGTTTAAACTGTAGGTAAACAAAAACTTTGCTATCCAATTTTCATAAATAACTTTTAGAAACAATTTATTTAGAACTTTAAAGGTTTTTGATAAATTAATTGCAATATTAATCATGCCTAAAGACTAGTGCAACAGAGTTACTCTAGCATAGAATTGATGTCATTGACTGTAACTCTTGAAAAACAATTATGGAATGTGCATTAAGTATTGGCAGCCTAGAACTTTATCTATATTTTAAAAATAATTAATCACATTACTAAAGTCTAGAATGATGTACAATATTTACCTAAAACAGTTGCTGTACTTTCATCAGCTGTCGAGAGTTTGTGTAGGCTAGAATGATGAGTAAGATCACAGTCCGCTATAATTCTATTAACTTTGCCAATTAGTTTAGACGACAATTTAATATCAGAAGCACAACAAACTTCTTTTATTATGTCCAGAAGAATGTTCTCTTGCCGCAATTTTGTTTCAATATTCAAATCATCGGTACTTGTAATAGAATCCATTGCACTGATCAAACAATTAATAAAAAGTATTTAATAATAATTATTCAAAAATATAATTCACTAAATAAAAAATAACAGCCATGAGCCAACAGTTTCGTGCTTTTTGTTTTGAGCAGTTTTAAAAATAAAACGTTATAATTCTTAGTTCTCTGTCTACGTGACAATTGACGCCCTGGTAGAATGATTACTGACAACGAACGAAACAAATTTTGCTACTTTCCACTGCGCGCTTACTAAAACTAATATATTCCCTCAGGCTTGAGACAAAGCACATTTAGACAGGCGTAAGTACTAACGCTATTGTATGGGAAAGACAGCTAAAGCTTGAAATTTACACTTTACTTATTTTTTCTAGATCTAAATGTAATGTCAATGAATTTTTTCTAGATCTAAATGTAATGTCAATGAAACATAATATGATGAGATATTGGAGGCCACATTAACAGAATGTTTAAAATTTTCCAGGCAAATTAAATTGTAGTACGCATCATAATTGTTTTATAAAGTTAAATAATATAAGTTTAATAAAAGCTAATTGTTAAAATTTTCTTCCTTGCGACTTCTATGCGGAGCGTTTTGTGCAATACAGTATACACCCATTACGTTATATCTTATAAATTTATATATCTTATAAATTTTCTGTGGAGGGCGCACGGCATCAAAGTTGTTCTCTTGACAGCTAAAATCACTCTATATTTTGGATAACTCAAAAATCGACATTGCAAACAACCTGTGCAAAACTGCAAACTAATTGCGATCTAAATAATTATAGCTTTTAAAAGACTAACTAAGGCAGTAAGGCTACGCTAACTTTTTCAAGAAAATGTTTTAATTAATATGTTGCGTTATAAATATTGAAAAATAGGGCTCGTCGAGCTAATTAGACTTCATGGAATGGAAATCTCTTCTAAAAATTCGTATAACTCTCAGACAATGGAATCTCAAAAAGCGGGGGAAAATGTCGATAAAAACAAACACAAAAACGCGAATGATGCCCATGGACATTGTTACTGGTAAGCCATAATCTTCGAAAATGGAAAAGTGTAAACATTCCTTATTCTTTTTATAACCAACTGTTTAACCTCTTTTCAGCGGTAAAGATCGAAATCTGAATATAGTTGAACTCCTTTGTGCTTCTTGCAACAGGTGGTTTCACGAATCATGTATTGGGTATCAGCTGGGCAAATTGGTTCCATTCATGACAAATTACTTGTTTATATGTAAAAATTGTTCCCCTACTGGTTTGGAAACATTCAAAAAGAATCAAGCGCGTAAGTATGAAGAATAAAAAAAACCTTTTTTTACCTCTGTAATGACATTGTTGACTTTTGAAAACAAAACTTGCTTAATACAAAGTTTTTACTTGTTATAGCTTTTCCCCAAATGTGTCTTACTGCCTTAGCCAATCTCCGACAAGAAAGTGTAAAAGATGGCAGTAATAAGTCAATGTTTGGTAAGGACAGAGAAATTATTCCATACATTGATCAGTATTGGGAGGCCATGACGACAATGCCTAGAAGGTATAATAAACAATCTATTTTTATTATTTAAACATTAAAGATTAGTTTTTAAGATGTATACTGTATAGCTCTTCTTATTTTAAACAAAAACTGTAGGCCACATAGAATTCTTTTTTTTTACAGCAGTTCTATTCCTTATTTGAAATAATTCTGCTTATGTTAGGATAGTGACATAATTTTCAGCAATTTATATTCGAGCACTACTTTTAATTGTCTTTAACATGTGTAGCTTAGTGATATCATAAATAAGTTTTGGAAATTAGGTAAACATTTACACTGAATTCTTTCAGTTGTTGTTTGTGTAAAATAGAGAGAAATATAAAGAGTTTTGATTTGGAATCATACAATTATGATTCCATTTGTCAGTTGTGTTATATACATTTATTTATAGTACATTGGTTTTCATGGATCAATTATAATTTCTTATCAGCAACTAGTTAATAACTCTATTTTAAAGGCCGGCAACACACTTGCAAGCCCTCTGGCATTGAGAGTGTCCATGAGTATTACTTAACATTAGGTGTTCTCAATTATAATAACAGTTTTGTGGGTAATGCCTGCTCTATTTCCTATATTATTTTATTATCTGTTTGATATTATAATGATTCTGTGAAATCATCCAATTTCTAATCTCAATTCTTTTCAGAGTTACACAATCTTGGTATGCCACAGTGCAAAGAGCATTAATTAAGGATATTCAAGTTATGTTTACATATGAAGAAGACCCAAATCAGGGGCCAATGTATGGATTATTCAACATTGAGCTGACAAATATTAAGCCTAATTATGAGGCAATGATAAAACAGGGACAATTGAAAGTTACCGATATGGGCATAGCAACAGGTAAGTGTAAATTTCTATTAATCAATTAAAATAATCAGTTATGTTACATCACATAGAAATTATCACTATATATTTATAGTCATAAAATTTCCTTAATTTTCTTATGGTTTTATGAAGTAACATAGTCATTCAGGCCCATAATTGACAATGAATAAAGCGAAGATTTTGATGTCATATTTTGATTCATTATTGATGTAATATTTATGACTTTCTGGACGGCAGATCTAAAGTTTTAATTTGATATATGTTTATAAATATTGATTGTATTATAAATATTAATACACTATTGAAGGCTTCTAATATATCTGAATATAATCAAAACTGATCAAGATTTTATTCTTATTCAGGATTTGAACTAGTCTTTACATAGATGTAAAGACTACTGGGGTTGGCGACTCATTGGTCTAGTGGTTAGTACCCCTGACTGCGAGTCCATGGGTCCCGGGTTCGATCCCCGGCTGAGACGAACATGGATGTGATGAGCATTTGGTGTTATGCTTAGGTCTTGGGTGTTTAAATATGTATTTATATGTCTATCTATCTATAATATGTATGTATATCCGTTGCCTAGTACCCATAACACAAGCTTCACCAGCTTAGCATGGGACTAGGTCAATTGGTGTGAATTGTCTTTAAAAAAAAAAAAATTATATTTCATTTATCAAATACCCTATGCTGCCAGCATTAAAGGTACACCGCTTACAAGGGACCAAACTCTTTAAATTCCATTTAATTTTCTTTTTATTAACATTTAAGAAAATTGTAAATTCTGTATATTTTATTGTTATGGTGCATAAATAAATACCCTATTTCTTTAAAAAAATAATTCAAGATTAATGTTGCAATAGGCAAATATTTTGTATATTTATTCATCATTGTATCACTTGCTAAATTGCTGAACAATTGTCTTAATATAGGTTGCCTGGAAGACATAGCTAATCAGTATTATATATAGTAATCAGTACCTAGTGTATGCGTCGGGTTGTCTCTCTCCCTAAAATATGGCGAGGGAGCCGATGGCTGGCCATGCGTCATACTCGTGGTGACGGGTCGTACTTGAATTCGTGTATGCGGTGATGTTAATTATTTCGACTGTGTTTGCGTGTTGATCCCACGAGAATGTAAGTGCGTGCTCCTATTTCACCATGCCTCCTGCTGATAGAGGACAAGTCTTTGTTTTTATGTTATTATTATTAATTACTTAAGATGTCATGTGGAACATGGTGTAATCGTTGCAGCTCCCTACAAACGTTGTGTAAAAATAAACATGGCGATAAAAAGACTGGCGGAGAGTTTATTGCCAGTTCTTTTCCGTTCTACGCCCTTGATTTGAGAACTAAATGTAAAATTAGAAGCATTAATAAGTATTTCTTTACTGACTAGTCATAAATGAACAATGTGTTGTTACCTATATGATTAAATGATGTTTGAATTTTATTAAGATATTTTGTATTAGTATTTTATGTGTGTTTTGTTGTGTGTCTTTTGAGAAGTACAGTTCAATTGTTATATGTTTTGCTCCAGAGGATATCTCTGTATAAGCAAAAATTTTTATTGCTTTAGTAACTATAGTTCTATGATACATTATTGTTTGAATTATATATTGATATATAAACATTTAAAAAAATTGCTTTCTGCATCCCATGATGTAGGTATATGCTATATAGATTAGATAACACTGCTTGCTTATTCCTACCTAAGTAAATAAAGGCCCGCGTTTATCTTAAGAAATAAAATTTATGCATCCAAACTTTAGATTATATCTGAATTATCGTTCCGCCCTTTGGAATTTTTTGAACAAAATTTAATAACTGAAATCTATACTCACACTACAGCATCACGAAGCTAAAGACATAAATATAGCAGCTTTATTTCGAATTCCAGACGAATATAGCTTGTTATAAAATGAGTAGATAATTCATATAATAAATCATTCTTCATTCAATTACCTTGAAGAACGCACGTCTATATAAGTTGTTATTTGTACAGCTGATATGAAACAAGCTAATTAAAAACCTATCAAATGAAGATGGAGTACTCGTTTGTCGCGATTCTAGACATAGTATTGAATAATGACATTGTTCTGTACGTGATGTGGTTGTGTTTGTAAATACGAGTGGCTAATACACACTAGTGCGCCTTGTACGTTTAGGGCTGGTACAGGTTTTAAGCTAGATAAGAATATAGATAAATGTTTTAGTAAAAATTAAAATTTCAGTTTAACACACTTATTAAATAGGTAAGGCATGATGGAAATCTTAGAATAAAATATTAATACATTTTTATTACCTATTCAATACCTAACGAACATATTTCTTTTTAATCTTGACAAAGAAAAATCTATAGATTACAATTCTCTAAAATTACATTGAATTTTTCAAATAACATATTAATAAAATCTTTACAAAACACACCAGGAATGGAACGAATGCCACAATAGATAAAAATGTTTATCTTACGAGTAAATATGCCAATAACCTATTTCCTGAACTTAACTGTCAATTGACATCCCTGCGTTGAATACGTCGCAAGTGTGGCTTTACTCCCACTTTAAACGCTCACATAGCCGGCTCGCGTACGATTTCTCTATCGATTCCACATTATTATTTCCATATCACACTTAAACCTTGAACTTTATGGCTGGTAAGTATTTTTTTTTAATTTCACTGCATCGTGGGACATTGTCTATGGGTAATTAATTGGTAGTGTAGTAGGGGCAGCTATCTTATCGCTTTTTTTTATATCGGGCGTGTTCGACATGAATAGTGAGTGTTTTATTATTGTTTTAAATTTACATTAAATTGAGTACAGATCTGCACTTAGTCATTGACTGAATTAAAATTGCTCTAATTATAGTATATGTAAACGTTACGTAACATTTAACGATTTTATACGATATCTTGAAGGACAGACGGGTAGGCGACTGAGGACAGAATTGTATGTAAAATAAATCTAGTTTCTTTTCTATAGTTTGATATTTAGAACATAATATTTAAATTAAAGTTTAATGAGCTGTTTATTTCTGGTGACTACTCTTATTCAGAAGTAACATATACTAGATTATATCTTAAAGGAAATCGCTTTGTCGAGATACAATTGGAATTATATCATGTTAATATGTTCATACAGTTAGACGACATCGCTTTGACTTGTCATAGTATGACCATGCTTTTGGCGTTATCTCCGTAAATTCATAGATAATATTTATATAGCGTACATTATTTGTGTACTATTAATTATAATAAATCCTTTATTTGCCATAAAATTCCTTCAAAGGATTGCACATTCAGCCATGTCAAAATTTATTAAAATACAAATAATTTATAATGACATAATATATTCTATGTATGTCAAAACTTATAACATAAGACCATTAACAACGCAGCACAGAACAACAATTGTAGAAGCATTTAAAAACAAAGCCCTTCATTACGCGGAAGTTCTGCAACTTCCAAGAAGGCTGATAGTTTGATTGCCATGTATAGAGTCAGTATAGAAATATTGTAGCGTATAGAAAATATATAGTAATGCCTTCTAAATTATATGCGCTCCTGATAGGTAGATTTATTATGGTCCTGAATGCAAAAACGACGGAGTCTTTATGCGGTAGGATGTACCCGAAGAGCGTTTTAATGGGTATTGCTCACCCGGCACTCTGAGTAGCTAAAATGCCTGGTGTTTGTCTAGTCGTACCATTTGAGTTACGAGGAATGCACAAATAACTGTTTTTGCTTATCAGAAAAGTAGATTTATCGTGTGTTTACGTCGCGATGGAAGTAGCGTAAACATCCATTCTATTTTCATATTTATTTTATTTACAAATAAACAGCGTAACAGTACACGTTTCTGAGTGTACTCAGACTTGTAATGTAACGGTAGATTTATTAATTAAAATCACATGACGGCTCATTGGTCTAGTGGTTCCCTGACTAATCCAATACTTTTTTCTAATTGCAATACTTCGTTCAAGTTTATAGGTCGCAGCAATTATGGTTGCCCTACGGCACGGTAGCTGGCTTTGTTGCGTAAGCAGTGGGCTTATGGGACAAAATGGGGTCGCTTTAATTCAACTTGACTTGTTTTTATTCAATGTTTTTAAACAACACGGTCTTTATGAATAATTTGAAGGTCTCCGTATTAACTATGGCATATTATTATGTTGTGGTCGGAAAACATATAAACATGAATTGAATTATATTGAAGTTGTGGAGTGGGCGTACCTCAACCCTGAGGGGGTCCGTTCAACACCAAACAATAATATATCTTAGAATGAATGTTCTTAAACATCCGAAGACTATTCGTATCACCTTGACGTCCGTCGTTCTACAACTGAGCATTTCTTAAGGCAATTTCTGCCGCGCACCACCACATGTACCAATACGTCTTAGGGTCCTTCAAGAAAAGAGCGTACCAATTCTTAAAGGGCGAGCCTTCTGGCAGTGCGAGTGTCCATGGGCGGCGGTATCACTTAACGTCATGTGAGCCTCCTGCCCGTTTGCCTCCAGCAACATAAAAAAATGCTTTTCGTAGTTAACAATCGGTGACAGTCCGATATTAATATATACAGGCAGTCTTCGTACTTACGGCACGATAGGTTCTCGAAATACGCGACGTACATCGAAACGACGTAAGTCGAGATATTATACACATTCTTTCTTCTATTACATATTTTTTCGTATGTTTACTTGTCAAGCATGGGTTAGGATCCACACGGACTCGAAATTAAAAAAAAACGCATTTATAACAAAGGATATACATACTTTATTTTCATAAGTAAGTTCTTAAAATAATTATATATGCACTTATGAAATTGTTAGTTATTTTTGGTATTTGTGTGTTATTAATTTTAATAATAATTATAAAACTTTTATACATACATATTTAAAATATGTAATGAGGAATAATAAATAAAACTTTTGGCTTAAAGAAACTATCAATTCTAGATTGCTTCGCTTCTTTCTTCTTGCTAGCATACAGATCTTGGTAACACTGATAGGCTGCACAAATTTTGTTATTAACGTTGAAACTTCTCTCAAAATAAGGATCATTTTGTTGAAAAATTTTCATGGCAATTTTCTACAAATTTGCACAAGATAGAATTCTCCTATGCCGGAAATTGAAACAAATGACGTATGCTTGAGGAATAGTGTCAAAACATTGTTCGACGTAACTTGAAACGACGTTAGTCGAGGACTGCCTGTACCAAACCAGCTTAAAAATAAAGTATTGTCTCGTTTTATTTTCAAAGTGGCAGAAACAAAACGATTCCAGTACGTTAATGAGACTATCAAAACGGTTTTATAGCATACAATAAATTATGATATTTATTTGTTTACAGTACCACTAGCGGGTAACGTAAAGGGTAGGCAAGGAAAGCGACGGCCGGCAGTGGGTACTGAGACCGGAGCACCCGTTGGCAAGAAGGGCAGATCGAGTGACTTAAGCTCGCTGAAGCTACCCTCGCACGGCTATCCAACAGAGCATCCATTCAACAAAGATGGATATCGTTATATACTTGCCGAGCCAGACCCACATGCGCCGTTTAGACAGGTAGGATTTTATGTACTCTCGTCATTTGTTAATTAATTATTTTCTAAGCGCAAGATGGATCTCGCGAGAGTATTTTTATTGTTTATTGAATTATTTTGTCCTCAAAACATATCTAATATGAATATAAAATTCTCGTGTCACAATGTTCGTTAACATACTCTTCCGAAACGGCTGGACCGATTCTTATGAAATTTTATTTTATTTTTATTTATTTAATTATAAGTAATCTTACAGCTAACATACATAATATTATAAAACAAACACTTAGACAGTACAGAAAGCCAAAACAGATTACACAGATAAACAATATTATATACGAAAAATAAAACAAATAAGCACATCAATAGACAAATTTTTATGCATAAGTTTGAGATTTTTTTTTAGAATTTATTTTGTTTTTGTTTTTTTATGATACAGCATATCATTTCAACCCTCTACGATCAACCCCTATTTTTTATTATTGTAGGCAGTTATTTTTATTGTCATGAGGAACATGGTGAAATGGTTGCAGCACTTTACAATTATTGTGAAAAACAAAAAACTTGGCGATTAAAAAGAGTGGCGGAGAGTTTATTGTCAGTTCTTCTCTTCCGTTCTACGCCCTTGGTTTGAGAACTGGCAGTTAATGTAAAATTAGAAGCATTTAATATATATATATTTTTTGACGTTCATAAGTGTTCATTGTTACCTATATGAATAAATGATGTTTTTTTTCGTTACTTATTTTAAAAAATCATGCCATCTTGGCCTAGTGGCTTAAGCGTGCGACTTTCATTCTTGATGTCGTAGGTTCGAGCCCCGGCTTTGCACCAATGGACTGTGTATAAGCGCATTTAACATTCGCTCGAATGGTGAAAGAAAACATCGTCAGCAAACCGGCTTGCCTTAGACCCAAAAAGTCGAAGGCACAGGAGGCTGATCACCTACTTGTCCACTTGTACACCTAATCTGAGGCCAAGACGTAAAAAAGGTTGCAGCGCCACTGATTTATTTATTTTAGTAAAAAAATTCCAGGAGTTTGACGAAAGTAATGAATGGAGCGGCAAGCCGATACCTGGATGGTTGTACCGCTCACTTTGCCCCGGTGTAGTACTGCTGGCACTACATGATCGCGCGCCGCAATTAAAAATAGCTGAAGATAGATTAGCTGTCACTGGAGAGAAAGGCTATTGTATGGTGCGAGCTACACATGGTAAGTTTTATTATGGTAGGGGAGCCCACGATGCTAAATGGGGATTTACTCGAGCGTCGTAGAGACCTATTGGGATACAAAGCTTAGATAAAAAGAAGAAAAAAATGTTATATGATAAATTCCTTTTCATCGGTGGGGGAAGCGGCTATAGATAGTTAAATATGTAAAAAAAACTGTTGCATGGACATCCTCGAGCGCGTCAGATATTGATAGCATCTATGCCCTACGTATTTTTAATAATGTACGTATGTTAATCTGATCGTTTGCATGATGCGGGTGGTTGTATTTAAGGGTTGAAAATTAAAAAAAAAAAAATTTTATCGAGCGCGTCAGATTTTCTAAGGGAGTGTTAAGTGCACCAAAAAAAATCTCTCATTCACTAATCTGACGATTTCGATGGGACGCAAACCCACAGCCATTTTCTTAATTTGCAAAAAAAATCGCAATTTTGAAATACTCAAGCGCGTCAGATTAAGATATATGTGGTTCATCTTTATGTTCTAAACGTACTGTCTCATAATCTGACGATTATCTAGAGGGATTCGCCTGATCTGACAAAAAAAAAATAGAAAAACGGTTCACCTAAAGGGCCATCCCTGCAACTTCCCGCTAATTCCATTCCTGGGCGCTTAAAATTGATATTTTGAGCTCGCTGAGTTCAAAGAAATAACATTTCTATGCATTTGAGCTCTCCCAGCTCGAAAGTCTGATAGAAGTTTCATAGAACACTATTTTTGGAATTTTCAAACCGCAATAACTTTTGAATGGATCAAGCAATTTTCACGCGGTTGGCGGCATTCGACGCAGTTTTATCATTCTCATAAGTAATTTTGCAATTTTAATTGATCGAACCACAAATTTCGGAGTAATCCCGAAAAAACACTTTTTCGGGTTTCTTTCATGTACGATATCTCTCGAACGAATCAACCGCTTTTGACCAGCTTGGTGGCGATCGACGTGGTTTTTCAAGCTCAAAGGCGGATTAGTTTTTGAAGTTGATCGATAAAGAAACCACTTAAAAAAAAATATTTCTTATTTTTTTAAGATTTTTCAAAATTTCTCAAAATCTATCGGTCCGAATCGGTTCAAATTCACAGGAAATGTAATTTTGAGGGAAATATTTTGAACGCCGTTTAGTAGATTCCGATCGGTTTAAGGAAATGTAGGCATCACGCAGCTGCACGCATATAACTTTATCGACGAATTTTTGTTATTTCGGCTTGCGGAAATCGTCAGATTATATATTTTTCATTATTCTGGAATTATTTCCTTCAAAATAAAAGAAAAATTAGCTACGCTCGAGAATGTCGAGATGACGTTTTTTTTACAACTTTGTTGCCCTCCCCTTTTTTCCGTCACTCTCAAATTGTCAGATTAGTGGAATATACACTTTTTAGGATGTAATTAACTCACCCTACCTTAATCTGACGCGCTCGGGAATTTCTGATGGTCAATTTTTTTTACTAATCTGATCCTGTCTCCTTCACGCGCGGCCTTATATATGGGCCTCATATTTTGTGGAGGTACTTAACCGGGTACAAGGTATCCCCCTATATAGTAATCTGCCGCGCTTTAGTAAATCCCGAAATCCCCTCTTGGGCTCCCCTACCATTAATAATAAATTAATTAAAAGAGAATCGATCAAGTCTTTATTTTGGATTAGTAAAATTGGGTCAACTACGTGTACTATGTGAAATTTATAATTAGTTAAAAACAAAGATAAGGGAATAAATTCGTGTGACAAATTTGAAAGTTGTATTTCTGTATTAGTTATAAAGCGAAAACTAAAGTATAAAATAATAACTCTCCTCCGCTCCATCCAATCAGTGGCGCAACAACCTTTTAGGTCTGGGCCTCAGATTTCTGTATTTGTTTCGTGATCATTTGTTTTTTCTAGGCCAGATGGTAATCAGCCTTTTTTTACACATGTCCTTTTTTGGGTTTAAGGCCGGTTTTTGTACGATGTTTTCTTCACCGTACAAGCGAGTTATAAATGCTCATAGACAAAGTCTATTGGCCTACAACCGGGGTTCAGTACTGACTACGAGATGAGAGTCGCACCCCGAGACCACTAGGCCAACACTGCACGGCAAGCTGATGTTTTGTAAATAAAATTTTGATTGGTTTACTGTAAAAGGAGAGCAGTGGTGGCTTCAGTTTGCGACTCTCATACCTGAGGTTGTAGGTTCGATCCCCGGCTGTGCACCAATGGACTTTCTTTCTATGTGCGCATTTAACATCCGCTCGAACGGTGAAGGAAAACATCGTGAGGAAACCGGCTTGACTTAGACCCAAAAAGTCAACGGCGTGCGTCAGGCACAAAAGACTTGCCTATTAGATTTAAAAATGATCATGAAACAGATAGAGAAATCTGAGGCCCAGACCTAAAAAAGGTTGTAGCGCCATTGATTTTTTTTAACGGTAAAAGGTGTTTCCCGTGGAATCTGGTACTGGGAAGCGAGTGTAGAAGAGATGCCGGAAGGGGCGGCAGCGCGCGTCGGCTGGGGCCGGAGGTACGCCAACCTGCAAGCCCCGCTAGGGTACGACAAGTTCGGGTATTCGTGGCGAAGCAGAAAGGGCACTAGGTCAGTATAAAATTGAATGCGATGGCTTTGACTGTGAAACTGAAAAAAAATAAAAAATATTCCAAGTGCTTTGTAACAAACGGTGATTTAAAATTTTTTTATGATAATAAGCCAAATACTATATATAAAAAATGTGTTTATTCATTATATTGTGTAAGATTTTGGAACCCTTTTAAGTAAATAATATGTGTCAGGGTTCCTAGCTCTTCCATAACAAACTTAATATTTAATTCCATAACTTTTTTTTTTTCAATAAGAATTTTGATGTTTTTTTTAAACTGTATACAACCCAAATGTTTTTTTTAACAAAAAGCATTACGCGACTCATTTATTACCCAATATGTATGGCTTTGGACATTAAAAAAAGTTGCGTATGTACAAAGTACACATGTCAGAAGTGAAACTTCTTTGGCAAACTAATTTTTAAGTCTTCTATAAGGTAAGTCACCCTTCTCACTCTCTCTATCGGTCTCAATAGTTCTCTCCCTTTTCTTCGACAAAAATGCTGCACATCTTCGTGACGTTTTCGTAACAAATTACCCTCATGCGCCTAAAGAAGTTTCACTTCAAAAATGATTAAGTAATTACGGCGACAAATAAGGCTTTTTGTATACTTAGTTCGTCATTATTAAAAATTATGTATTTTATTCATATACGCCCTTCAATAGCGAACGTTAGTTGAGTTGGATTGCTAATATATTAGTGAAATGAAAATCGTGAAGTGAAAAACCAATCGTTTCACATAACGTTGGAAAATTCGTCGCTATGTTAAATTTATTCTATTATTTAAAATATTGTAAATAGATTGGTTTGTGTCTAAGTGTTTGGAAATGAAAATCTTTGCCAGTACAGTACCTGACAGATATGACGTAGATTAATGTGTTTACTTTGATATAAATCAAAATTTAATCTCGGTAAATACTTTTTTAGATTTCACGAATCTCGCGGAAAGCACTTCAGCAATAGCTACGGCGAAGGCGATACTTTGGGCTTCCTCATAGTGCTGCCTGAGAGTCATTCCACCAAATACACGCCCAACACTTACAAAGATAGAGTGAGTATCCAATCTTTCTGGTGTATCTTATCGTATCTTAAATAGAGCGCCAGTGCGACACTCTGGTGATCTTCTGGAGCGAGTTATTATGTTAGTACTTTTTTGTGGATTTCCTTACTTGCCTGGAAGATTACGGTAAGGTCGCCTTGTTTGTATTATTTTTATGTAACGAAGTTTAAATAAATAAATAAAACTGCATATTTATATAATCTGAAATAAAAAAAGTTTTGGGATCAGTGTTTAACTGAGTGGCTTCCTTTTTAGTATTAATATATAATGACTATATACAATTTAGAATGAAGTATTTTATTTTATTTTGTATGTATTAATTAATGAATTTTTCTTTTAAAGGATTATTTATATCTGTTTTTTTTTATTCGTTGAAGAGAAATCCCGATTTAAGACCTGGTTTAATTTTAAGACAAAATAATATTTTTATTCGCTATTGCATTGTTTAGGTTTCTTGGCTTTAAAAAGTTTAGAACGAAATTTTAAAAATAAAGATAAAAATACACAAATAACGCACAGAAAAAAATGGTGCGTGTACTTATGTACGCGCGTAAGAAGTTATACTTCTTTGGCTTTCTTTATTTTTTTTATATATTAAATAATTAATAATAAATATTTAGCGTTAATAATTTAACAATATTTAATATTTAGTATATTATTCAATTATTAATTAATATTAATTATTTTATTATATATTTAATAACTAGGTATGTTTCATAACCTTTTAACTAAGTAACAATAGGTCTTTGTGAAAAAGCATTGCTAAATTTCTTTGAAAAAATAATTAAAACTCCTTTATTTGTTTAAAAGGTACTACAAATGTCATTATGGTCATTCAAAATTTTTGGCATAGCTAACGTCACGCATATTCTATTACTTTTTACTTGTAGATTGTCTTATTCCCATCTCGCTCGCGCACGCTCGGCGCCCATACTGATAATTTTGTGTCACGGTGCGCGCGCATCGTAAAATTACACTCTCATAAATTTTTCATAACGCGCCTAAAGAAGTATAACTTCAAAAATACATTTGACTGTCAATTGTTTAAAATAAATTTTCTGTATAGCTACATATAGGGATAAAAAAAAATATATCCTATTTAAAACTAAGTTTAATTTTTTTTACAGCCATTAGTAAAATTCAAGAGCCATCTGTACTACGAAGACAAAGACAACATTCAAGAATCTCTAAACAATTTGAAGGCACTCGCGGGTAGTCGCATATTTTTCTTCAAAAATGGCGAATGTCAAGGCGAGGCTTTTGCGGACGTGTACCAGGGATGTTATTATCCGTCAGTTTCGTTGCACAAGAATTGTACAGTTAGTGTTAACTTTGGACCTAATTTCAAATGTCCCCCCAACACGGACCAATCATATAGACCGGTAAGTTTTCTAATTTCCTAGGGCCCGTAACTTTGAAATTGTGTCTTGAGATACCTTTTGGAGCACGGATTGGAGCATTTGCAAGCAGACTCGTTAACCAATGCCTAATTCAATATATTTAAATATTGTTTATTTAACTGAAAAATGGGAACCATGACATATTTAATTCATTAGTTCACAAACATTACAGTTATATATGCTGGTCAAAAGTGTTGTCCGTATTATTTATGTTCTTTGACTTTGAAAACAAATTAAATAAGATTTTGGCTTTGACTGAATTACCATAATTTTCAAATATTTTTAAGGACAAAGTTGATCAGCCTTCCATATTTGTCAGAAACTGTAGTGTTGAAGCCTAGACGTAGGTAATATACCCAATGTATAAATACTATATTAATTTCAGATGTCAGAAAAAGCTGAAGAAGCAATATGTGAACAAACCATGGCCGACTTATTATATCTGACCGAGAATGAAGGGAAACTAAGATTGGATAATTTCAATCTCTGATATAACTAACACCGTTGAACGGTGTTTGTAATGCTAAGGGACTCAAATGTGTGAAAGTGTAAATGTGGTAATAAATTAGATTGTGCAAAACTTAATTCTACTGTTATAAGTATGCAGTAGAATAATAATTGTAAATTTGTAGTAATCAGCTAAACATTGTCTAAAAATGAATGTCATTTGAGATTGTATTAATTAAAGTTTACGAATATGTTGTATTAATCAAAGTATTTTCTAGCTATCGATGCCACAATGTATCAGTATTGGAGATACCAATTTTGGATCCTTTGAGTAACAAAATGTTAATAGTTTATGCAAACATAACCTGATAATGTGTACCTATGTATTGTTTTTCTCTGAACATGACTTCTGTAGTCTAGTTTATTAAATTAATTACTACTAGCTAACTAAGTACAATTATAAAACTCAACTACGTTATAATCATGGCATAAATATTTTTCTATAATAATTGCAATGTCGAAATTTGTGAGTATGCTTCTGTGAAAAGAATATTTTTTATAAATAAAAAATGAAAGTGTCTTGTTTTTTTTTTATTTTCGGATATGAAAAATGTATGGCAGAATACACGTAGGTGGTGCAAAATACTAAACCATAGATTTTGGTATTATTTAGTCATATGCTTATAAATTTTACTTTAAATAAACATGATTGTATTATAAATTTGGTCAATTACAGAAACAAACATCAGTACTTATTCACATAAAAACATAGAAACAGTGGTTGTTACAATATTTCAATTGAATAAAATTTTAACTGTAGTAGTTAACATAACACATCTTTAGGCTTATTTATAAGACCTTAATGAAGTATTTAAAACAATTTTTAACATTAGATGTGTGCTTGCTTTAATAAACATAACAGCTATGCCATAACTAGGCAGTCAAAGTTAGAATTTGGAAAAATCAATCATAAATGACAGTCTTTTGATTCTTGAAATTTGCACTGACAATTAATCGTTAACTGAAAGATTTTGAACTTACTTTTAAACAATAATCTAGGATTGATAAACAATTTATTGTTTTATATAACAAATATAAGACTAATATGTGTGCTTTTCACTGATGCAATACCAGAGCCATTAGACTAATCAATTTTTAAATTTAACTTAAAAGATATGTTTCTTGTACTTTAAGGGATTTTATTAACTACTGTTTTGATTTGACCACAAGTCTTTATTTACAATTTCTAAGGTTTAACATTATAGATAAGGTCCATAATTACAACTATATTTATATCACTTTCCAAATCCACCTCTACAGTTTGGGCTACTCTCTATAACTTTATCACTTACATCCCACTGCTGCGGGGTTTTGGCCACTATTGATAATGCATGTACTCCAGAGCGCAGTTCTTCTTGTAATATGTCATTTACTAATCTGTGTCTCTGAAAATACAAAAGATAAATTGTGACAAATTTGGACAATATTTCAGTAATTTCAGAACTATTATTAGACCACATATATTGATTATATACATTTCAATAACCTTATTTGGTCTATGTATGCTAAGCCGCAACTGTGGCTCTACCATTTTGGCGCAAAAAATTGTTACAGAACATTTATATGCAATAAAATAGTTACCTTAATCAATGGTAACCCATCGAATTTATCTGAAACAACGACGACCTTGAAATGAGTTTCGGCGCCCTTGGGTACATTATGCATATATGACTCATTTATCACCTCTAAATGCTTTGTTTGTAACGCAGTCTCCAATTTTGTTTTTATCGCATTAGCAACGACGCCACCGAGAGATGTCATTTTCCTCGTCACAAGGTCACTTATTAGTCTACCTATTGTTATAGAGATTAGTAATAATTATAGAGTACAAATAGAAGTTTCGGAATTACTGTTTTCACTCAGTTAACCTTACCGTGCTGGAAGCTAAGCGACATGCCGCGCCGTGTTATTATCCTTTCTTCCGTTCTAGCCAAAATCATAGGCACCTTAGGACATCTCGACTTTTTTACAATTTTTAGAGAGCTTTTAGTTTTATTCTAATATTATACTTTCAACCGCTACTTCGAATTACGATTACGGAAATTAATCGAAAAAAAAACAAAGATTCTAGATGCTGTCAAAACGTCAATGTCATTAGCCTCGACACATTGTCAATGCCAAGGACAATTCTAAATTTCTACAGAATAATTACGTATAGCTTATACATATTACCAGATTTATTTAATAATACTATGACTGTATTTAATAAATAATAATTGATAAACATTTGAAATTAGTAACTAAAACAACTATGGCACATCTATTAAAATGTTCACCAATCAAAAATTAAGGCAAATCATTTCCTTTACGAATTTATTTCATGACGGGCTACGAGGACTAAAAATCTTTACCAGGCAACCTCGGTAAGAAGAAAAGAAAGAGTAAGAGATTTTTTTACAGAATGTATTAATGTATGAGTGCATCGAGAAAAATTGCAATGCACAATAACGTCCAGGTTCGTTTTGGGAAGTGGTTCCAATTGCCATGTTGGAAACTCTAAATTCGATAAACATGTAGGTACGTCTTCCTCTTTCGACTCTAAAATATTTACTCTGAAATGAAGAGAATTTTATAAAACATAATATTGAATACTATGGTAACATAATAGTTAGTATATTGTGATAATTATACAATAATTTAACTCAGCTTGTAACAATGATAATATAAAGACAATGAACGAGAGTAATCTTGGTCAGTTTATTTTTCCGACATGATGAAGTTGCAGTTGTGTGTGCTTTTAGCAATATTAATGGTCAGAGGACGAGAAATAGTAAGTCAAATAACTCATATTTTTTAAACTGTAGCTAATTCGATGACAGCCTTTTTTGTTCTAGGTTTGTAACTTTCGATATATATATGTAACTATGTAAGTAGGTATATTAATTATAATATGTATTCCATTTTTTTTAAAGTAGTTTTATTTGGATATTTATATGCAATGAAATGGAATTATTAAAATACTCGTAATGTACTCGTGATCACATTTTTTATAATATACAACATATTTTGTGGTATGTTACAAAAAATCTTAGTTTCCAATTACTAAGAGGGCATTTTAAGACTTTTTACAACTATTTAACATAGAGATTAGAGTTTTATTCTTTTAAATAAAACTTCGTATACCAGTCCTTAACAGCAGTCATAGACATCAAGACTGTCAAAACTGACGAAATCTTAAAAAGTTTTACTTGAATGTGGAGTATTCGTTTAATGCTTTGTCAAACTTATAAAAGAGGTTCTAAGCTATGCGTATTTTACTTTCAGGACTACATAAAGCCTCCTCAGTCAGAAGTTACTAAGTTAATCGAAGTATCATTCACCTGTATTACAGAAACTAATGTTGACGCTGATACCATTCAGAAGTTATTAACATGGAACGTAAAGAATACAGAGCAAATTACAAAATATCTGTTCTGCTTTATGCAAAAGGCAAAATACGCGGACTACGACGGCCATTTTATCATAAAAAACATCATGCCAATTGTCGGCCAGCATAAAAAGAAAGACGAGTTCCAGAGAGTTCTAGAGGAATGTAACAAACTCGCTGGAAAGGACAGATATGATACAGTATATAAAATCTCTGAGTGTACACATGACAAGACGCCTGTATTGTTTACTATGTAAGAATCTACCTACCTACAGATTCCGCATATATCTAAATTTAACACGCAAAAGGTTTAAAAACAATAAACATACTTTTGAAGAATCTTTATTATTTGACATCTAAAAGGAACCATAGAGAAAAACGTGTCTCCGATTCCTACTCTTTTATATTTTACATTATAACATGTGCAATAAAAGTAAGAAATGACATAGTGTTTTATTTTTATGTAACGAACTTGATCAATTTTCTAAAACTGACCTCACCACAGTGTAAAACGACATTCCTGTTTTGATGAACTGAAAATTAAATATTGTGTTATAAATTAAAAATTTAGGTTTATGTCGGTTAAATAATAAATTCCCCGGCTAAATACGACCTTGCCCTGAGATACAGAAGCTTCTGGAGTTTTGCTCTGAAACTTTGTTGGAAATGCATTGGAGTTTTGATTCTCGGAACTATAATTGTTCAACATTGCAAGTCAAATAATCATGTGTCTGCTTGTCTACGGTATTCACATGTATGCAAAACTTAAGGTTTTCTTACCCAAGTAAACGTTTCTAAAGACAGCGTCACAGATCCATAAATATATATGGGCATTCCTTGAGTGACTGCGGTGTAGAAAATAAGCACGCTTTTCTTATATTTCATATCATGATCATACCATTTTTCTGTAGCTGCTTCCTCAAGTTCTGTACACTGAATCGATAAAGACATTTTTTATCATTTGTAAGCAATTATAAAAAAATCTTTAAATTCAGTTTAAATTTAAATAAAACTTAGAGTACATTACGGCCATCAAATGTGTGTAATCGCCTACTGAAAAGGTTCATGAGCGGCCGTAAAATTTAAAATTTGTTGAGTCTTCTGTCAGTTTGGCCACTGGTTCTCTTTGGAACAATTTATCCATGTTATTTCAGTGTGTTATAGATACGTCGACACTAGCACGTCAATTTTTTTTTGGGTTTATGTAATGCCGGTTTCCTCACGATGATTTACTCCACGAGTGCTAAATGCGCACTTAGACTGAAACGTACATTATTTCCGGGGTTCGACCCTAGGACATCGCGGATAGATCAGGTGTATTAGCGGTTTCAACTCGGAATGAGAGTAGCTATAAAGTTGTATACACCTTTATTTTGTTAGCCTAAAACCTGTCTCAAACCTACTTATCGTAGGGGGACACCCGACGATATTCCAACTTCAAAGGTAAAAGGAATCGATTTTTAAACATTTATTATCTAGATATTTACGCTATTTGTATTTCATATAACTTTTCATATCTTGAACCATTTTCGAGATAGAAGGCAGGGCGCGCCCAGTCTATATATAAATTATTGATAAATAAATAATTTGATCAAATCGAAATTATGAAAAAGCTAATTAATTTGCTTATTGAAATGTGACAAGTTACAAGTAAATATCATTACATAATAGACCAGAAAAGACGCGCCGAAGAAACAGCTATTGACGAATTTAAACATGAAAAAACTGCTGTTGTTTTTGGTCCTCCTCGTCATTTATATTTTTATTATATTATACCAATTCTTAAAAGGCCAGCAACGCACTTGCGATCTGGCATCGATAGTGTCCATGTATCACTTAACATCAGGTAAGTCCAATTTGACCCCAGGTCTATAAAAAAAATCATCAGCTCTCTTATGTATATAATAAAAGACGGATAAACTTACCGCATTATCCACAATTTGACCCAAGTTGCACAAAATGAATACACCGATAATGACGATAATTAGAAGAAAAGCAAATGTCATTGTATCAATATTAAGCTCGTGCTAAAATGATTTATATAATAATAAAATATACATTTGCTTTTATAGTTAATATGAACTAAAATTTTAAATAAAAGCTTTACTGAAACTTTCTGTTTATGTATAATGGGTGAAACTGTCACTCATCTATCATGGTCAAGCTGTATGGGCAAACTGAAAATCAGTGTTGCTTACAGGAACTTAAAGTTGAGTCGGGCCCATTTTAAAACACTTTTAATACTGTTAAATCAAATCAAATCGTTATGAACGTCAAAAAAAGATATACAAATTAAATGCTTCTAATTTTACATTTACTGCCAGTTCTCAAATCAAGGGCGTAGAACGGAAGAGAAGAACTGGCAATAAACTCTCCGCCACTCTTTTTAATCGCCAAGTTTTGCTTTGAATCAAAGTGATTGTGTATTTGAATTTTTTGTGTATATTGCTTTCATCAAATCGATGTTTTTTTGTTTAGATTTACACATTGTGTGTGTTAATTTCTAGATAATTTCAAACTTAAATGTGTTTTTAATTATAATTAATACTTGGCGTGCTTTTATCGCCACTTGTTTGTTTTAGGTTCTATTTTCTGAATAGGCAAGTTGTTTTCTTTATCTGACATGTGTAATTTTCAAGACCTTTTTTGCTAAGACCCAGTTGGCTATTTTAAAAAATGTGGACATAAGTCAGCAATTATTGCTTACTGTATCAGCCTTGCCATTCTATAACTCACTTTTCGAACTCACACAGCGGTTTTCGCATCGGCGGTCGCTCTCAAATCAGTCGTGAAGCAGTCATTTTATGATTTGGTATTCTGATAAATAATAAACTACAAGCTCCCACCTTATCAAATTGTCAAATCATAAAATGACTGCTTCACGACTGATTTGAGAGCGACCGCCGCTGCGAAAACCGCTGTGAGAGTTCGAAAAGTGAGTTACAGAATCGCAAGGCAGATCGTCGGCGTCTTGAGACTATTGACTTAATTAAGAAACAAGAATGCTAAAAATCTATTGGATTTCTACATACCGGAGTCATAGTGCGCTCAATACATTTAATAACTTTAACAAACTTACGGAGAGCGAAAGTTCTACTAAACAGATAGCTTCTAGAGTCATTGCGAGAAGTATTGTTATCAGAAAGTACACTTTGCACGTAGCATTCAACTTGTTGGAGAATCTGTAACAGCGTTAGTTGGATTATTAACAAACTTCAAATATCTAACATTTTTTCTGTAAAAGTTTAAGTATAGCTTTATTCTTGTTACATAAATTATTTAGCAAAATATGTGACCGACTGAAAATTTCACTAAAAGGTTTAAATGACATTTCTTTAATTAATATCTTATCTAATCTAATAGTTTATTATTGAAGTTATACTTCTTTAGGCGCGTTATGAAAAATTTATGAGAGTGAAATTTTTTCGATGCGCGCGCACCGTTACACAAAATTAACAGAATGAAGTTGCCCACGGAAGATGCTACGGCATTGGACATAATTTAAAAACAACATTCGAATTATAATAAAATTTATGTTACACTTAATGTAAATAATAATAAATATTTATTTATTTAATTTTTAAAATGTAAACTGAACTTTATTGCCTATAATGACTCATTTATAAATTATTTGCAAGCAATCAAAAACTGTTTTTAATAATGCCAAAGAAGTATAACTTCTTACGCGCGTACATAAGTACACGCACCCCTTTTTTTTACTGTATAATTTCTTTTCCCTTTTATCAACGTAATGATTCCTTGTTGTTTCAACACTTGTAATTGATACATGCATGTATTATGTTTTTGTATATCGTGTGTTCTCTGTAAGTGTTTGTATGGGTTTTTTAAGTGAGCTTTTTTAAAATAAATAAAATTAATACTTTATTTCTGTAAAAGTCAAAAGAAACAATTAAATTAATATTATGATTGAATATGTTTTAGTGCATTTTGGAGTCATACATTTTATAAATATTTGTTAAAAAGTTATAATATTAGGTCCTTACATATGAAATTGGCGTATTTCGTACTGGCCACTTTAATCACGATGTTCTCCTCTTTGGTAAGAAATTCCAAATTCAAATTTGTACAGCTATTTACTCATGTATTTGTGCTTCTATTACCGTCATTCATTTGTTTTTTTTTCTGTTTGCGTCACTCATTTTACAAAATGGAAAACTTAAAGTATCGCATTATTTACGAGTACGAGTTCCGCCGTGGCACTAGTGCTGCGGAAACGACTCGAAGGGTGAATGATGTGTATGGCGGTCATGTTGCAAAAGAAAACACAGTTCGTTTTTGGTTCCAACGTTTTCGTTCAGGAAATTTCGACCTGCAGAACAAGCCCCGTGGACCGCCTGAGACCCAAGTTGATAATTAAGTTTTGAAGGCTATTGTGGAAGCGGATCCATCGCAAACCACGTCCGAGTTAGCTGCAGGCTGCGGTGTTAGTGATAAAACTGTTTTAATTCACTTGAAGCAAATTGTGAAGATTAAAAAGCTTGAAAGATGGGTACCTCACGAATTGACTGAAGCAAACCGGCAAACGCGCGTCGACTGCTGTGTTACATTACTGAACCGGCAAAATAATGAAGGTATTTTAAACCGAATCATTACCTGTGATGAAAAATGGATTCTTTACGATAATCGGAAGCGCTCAGCGCAATGGTTGGATCCTGGCCAGCCAGCCAAATCCTGCGCCAAGCGAAAATTAACCCCAAAAAAGTTACTTGTAAGCGTTTGGTGGACTAGTGCCGGTATTGTTCATTGCAGTTTTCTCAAATCTGGCCAGACTATTACGGCTGATGTCTATTGTCAGCAATTGCAAACCATGATGGAAAAGCTAGCGGCTAAACAACCTAGGCTGGTCTATCGCTCCACGCCACTGCTACTTCACGACAACGCTAGACCACACACTGCACAACAGACGGCTACCAAATTAGAAGAGCTTCAATTGGAATGTCTAAGACATCCTCCGTACTCCCCGGACCTTGCTCCAACAGATTACCATTTTTTTCGAAATTTGGACAACTTCTTGCAAGGGAAAAAATTTAACTCTGATGGGGCAGTCCAAATTGCCTTCACAGATTTTATTGATTCCCGTCCGACTGGTTTTTTTAGTAAAGGGATCAATGAACTACCTATAAGATGGCAAAGGTGCATAGAAAACAATGGTTCATACTTTGTTTAATTAAATATATTATATTTAAAAATATTCGACTTTTTGTTCCTCCCATACAAAACGCCAATTTCATTTCATCTGGTGATGTTTGTCCAATCGATCCATTTCGGCTTCACCTTGATTTATGAGACACTCTATATATACGACGATGTGGAACCTGCTGCCCACTGACGTATTTTCAAACCTATTCGACTGTGGGTCCTTCAAGAAAAGAGCGTACCAATTCTTAAAAGCCCGGCAACGCATTCGCGAACCCTCTGGCATTGAGAGTGTCCATGGGCGGGGCTATAAGTTAACATCAGATGTGTATTTTATATATATATAAAATTACCAAGTAAGCTTTGAAACAATGGGCTAGAGTATTCTTATAAAATTCGAAGGAACTTTTTCCCCAAACTCAATTAATAATATAATATGATTGTTAAATTGTGTTAGTGTACTTAAGTTGTATTCAAAATTAAAATACGGTTACGATGTTTTGCGCACTTTGCATATATGTCACATGTATTCATCAGTCAATCTTTATAACGATATTTCTTAATCAGTCACTCTATATAACGATATTTCTTAAGAATTACCTACCTTTTCATTCTAAGATAATGGATAATGCACTGTTTAAGAATTTCGTAGCACTCCTTATGCCATATATTATTCCTCTCTCTTATTTCCACAATATCAGTCATATTCTTGAGAATATATGCCAAAATATTCAGTTGCCGCGTCAATTGAAGGATAATGAAAATTAATAGTGACAGGAAACATGGGTACGCTGAAAAAAATTTATATTTCTCGACTGAATGACTAAAAGCATTTAAAAATGGGTAATTGTACACAGCCTCCGGTAGAGGGCAGGTATGCTGTTATGTTTGACTGCAGTTGAGATTTTCACCATTCAAAGGTGGAATAGAAAATGCGATTAGGATATTTTTAACAGAAGAAACCTGTGATTTCCTCTGCTCTGTTCTGCACTGAGCTCAAACTATTTCTATTACTTCGATGCCTCAGATATCCGATCTCACAGTTGCCCTTTAATAAGCTGCATAGCCAGTCTATAGAAATACTAGCTGACCCGGTAAACGTCGTTTTGCCATGTATATTATTTCTAGGAAACATTTTTTAGTTCAATAAAAATAACTATCTACTATAATAAAAAATGTATTTGTATGTATTGTATTTTTTGTATGCTGTATCATTATTAAATAAAAACAAAAAGTTTTGTCTAAAAAAATAAAATTTAGGGGTGGGACCACCCAGCATTAAGGGCGATGAAAAATAGATGTCCGATTCTCAGACTTACTGAATATGCATAAAAAATTTCATAAGAATCGGTCGAGCCGTTTGGGAGGAGTATGGGGACGAACATTGTGACACGAGAATTTTATATATTAGATAGACTTTATGTATGTATGTATAATTTTCGATGAAGTTTGGTAATTCTATAATATTTCAGTTTTACTTGTTATTTTCATGCACCCTTAATATTTTTTACCTTTTTTTACTAGGGTTGCCTGGAAGAGTTCGCTTGTTAGCGATAAGGCCGCCCGTAGCATCCCTTATATTTATTACGTTATTTGTTTTTCTTTTAATGTAACGAAGAATATAAATAAATATAACTAATATACAGTCAAAATCTGTTATTACGACATCGAAGGGACTACTCATATTTAAGTCGTAAACACCGATAGTCGTAACAGCCGATGACGTTGTTATTAAGTACATACAATAGAATTCAGCCGGGACCTTTGATTTTGGTCAATATAACCGGTATTTCTAAACGATGTCGTCGTAAACGGTTTTGACTGTAACTAGATTTTATCGTATTATGATAGTAACATACCAATACAGCACAAATATGCAGCATGAGCCTGATATATGCAAGAAAATATATATACCGCAATATGTTGAACACTCCAAGGAAACTCCATTTTAAATGCTGAAAGTAAAGCGGTATAATTAAGGATGTTAGAACCTTATTGCCTAATTACGGACTACTGTCGCAAGCATGGTCTGTACGGAATGGGCGTATACATTTTCCCATGAAATGAAATAGGGAATAACTAAAGGCCGGAAACGCACTCGCGAGCCCTCTGGCAATGAGAGTGTCCATGGGCGGTATCACTTACCATTAGGTGAGCCTCCTGCCCGTTTGCCCCCTGTTCAATAAAAAAAAACTTTTTTCACTATTTACGTGTTCTTTTTATTGTACCACACAATTGTTTGAAAGGGAAGAATTTCAAATGTATGTAATGGAGGTAATAAAATCCTTCGGGAATGAACTGAAAAGCTAAATTATGCGTTCAACTGAGCTACTTTTGAAGCTAAACTTGGCGGTAGACAAAAGGCTTTTACCTAAAAAGAAATTGCGTCCGCCATTTGTATCGGTCCAAACAGTTGTCGACCAATCGATTGTGAGGCTGGATCTACACATCCCACCGGAAGGAACTACACGCCCAGGTCGTTGGGCGAGTGTTTTTTCGAGAAAAAAGGTAAAAATATCGTGCAACTTGAGGTAAAGGGTTAAGTGGAGAGCATCAGTACTGGTAATAGTAGAAAAGAAAGGTGGTGGTGACATTAGAATCATAGTATACATGTCGCAGCCAACTAGCTTAATTAGCCGTTCAATTAACAGCCTAGCCTTTTTACTACACGGCGCCGTTTAACTAGCAGCCTGAAAGATATACTATAGATATATAGATAGCGTGTTAATTGAATGGCTGATAAAGCTAGTTGGCTGCGACATACACACTACAATGCATTTAAAAAAAAAACAATAAAAATATTCAAATAGCAATGCAGCCACAGCATCCATTAGAAAAAATAAAAAGCATGTATTTTGAACTGGAAAAAAGCAAATTTCTAGCTATAAAGTGTTATACCTGACAAATACTTACGTAATATACGCAATGAACTTTTAATCTCTGTATAAAACGCCCCATAATAGT